ATCTATTTTTGGGCATTTGGGTTGTTTCCATAGCTTATCTATTGTAAATAGTGCTGCTATAAACATAAGGGTGAAGGTACCCTTTTGAATTAATGTTTCTGTGTCCTTTGGAGTGGAATTGCTGGATCATATGGAAACTCCATGTTTAGCAGACTGAGGAATCTCTACACAGCTCTCCATAGTGGTTGGACCAGTTTGCACTCCCACCAGCAGTGCAGGAGAGTTCCTTTTTCTCCACATCCTTGCCAACATTTGTTGTAGTTAGTTTCTTTAATATGTGCCATTCTCAATGGTGTAAGATAGTATCTCATTGTAGTTTTGATTTGCGTTTCCCTGATTACAAGTGATGTTGAACATTTTTTCATATGCCTGTTGGCCATTTGCATTTCGTCTTTGGAGAAGTTTCTTTTTAGCTCTTCTGCCCATTTTTTGACTGGATTATTTACTTTGTTTTTGTTGAGCCTCATCATCTCTTTGTAGATTTTGGTGATCAGTCCTTTATCATTAGTGTTGTGTGCAAAAATTTTCTCCCAGTCAGTGGGGTTTCTCTTTGTTTTGGTTACTGTCTCTTAAGTTGTACAGAAGCTTTTTAATTTGATATAGTCTCAGCTGTTTATCTTTGCTTTTGCTATCACTGCTTTGGGTGATGAGTTTTTAAAGATGTTGCTGAGGTGTATGTCATGTAGTGTTTGGCCTATATTTCCTTCTATATATTTTATGGTTTCAGGTCTTATGTCTAGTTCTTTAATCCATTTTGAGTTGGTTTTTGTGCATGGGGTGAGGTAGAGTCCAGCTTCATTCTTTTGAATCTATTGACCCAGTTTTCCCAGCACCATTTATTAAATAAACTTTCTTTGCTTCATTGCATATTCTTTGCTCCTTTGTCAAAGGTTAGTTGACTGTAAATCTGTGGGTTTATTTCTGGATTTTCTATTTGGTTCAATTGGTCTGTGTGTCTCTGCTTGTTTCAATACCATGCATTTTTGATTATTATGGCTTTGTCATATAGTTTGAAATCTGGGCGTATGATGCCTCCATTCCCTTCTTTTTTTTTTTTTTCAGGAGAGCTTTGGCTATTCGGGGTTTTTGGTGCCTTCATATGAAATTCATAATATTTGTTCTATTTCTTTGAAGAATGCCATTGAAATTTTTATTGGAATAGTATTGAATCTGTAAATTGCTTTTGGTAGAATGGCCATTTTGATAAAGTTAATTCTTCCAATCCATGATCAGGGGATGTCTTTGCATTTCTTTGTGTCTTCTTCTGTTTCTTTTAACAGTGTTTTATAGTTTTCTTTGTATAGGTCCTTTACCTCTTTTGCTTGGTTTATTCCCAAGTATTTGATTTTTTTTGTTTCAATCATAAAAGGGATGGTTTTCTTGATTTCTTCTTCTTCAGATTTATTGTTTGTGTATAGGAAGGCTACTGATTTTTGCGTGTTGATTTTGTGTCCTGCTACTTTACTAAACTGATTGATTAGTTTAATTAGTTTTTCTGTGGAGTTTTTGGGGTTCTCTATGTATATTATATCATCTGCAAATAGTGATAATTTGTCTTCTTCCTTCCCTATTTGGATTCCTTGTATGTCTTTCTCTTGTCTTATTGCTCTGGCTAGGACTTCCAGTATTATATTGAAAAGCAGTGGTGAGAGTGGACATCCTTGTCTAGTTCCACATCTTAATGGAAATGCTTTCAGCTTTTCATCATTGAGTATGATATTGGCTATGAGCTTGTCATATATGGCCTTTATAATGTTGAAGTATGTTCCTTGTAAACTGAGAATTTCAAGGGCCTTTATCATAAATGGCTGTTGTACTTTGTCAAAAGCTTTCTCAGCATCTGTTGATATTATCACCTGTTTTTTATATTTCTTTTTGTTGATGTGTTGGATTACATTGATTGATTTTCAGATGTTAAACCATCCTTTTGTCCCTGGAATAAATCCTACTTGGTCGTGGTGAATTATCTTATGGATACATTGTTGGATTCTGATAGCTAAAATTTTATTGAGGATTTTTGCATCCGTGTTCATTAGGGAGATTGGCCTATAGTTTTCTTTTTTTGTGTTGTCCTTTTTCAGTGTTGGTATTAGTATGATGTTGGCTTCATAGAATGTGTTTGGCATTATCCCTTCCTTCTCAATTTTTTGAGTTTGTGAAGAATAGGGACTAGTTCATTTCTAAATGTTCGGTAGAATTCATTTGTAAATCCATCTGCTCCTGGGCTTTCGTTTTGGGGGAGGGTTTTGATTACCATTTCAAATTCACTGCTTATAATTGGTCTGTTTAGGTGTTCTATTTCTTCTTTATCTAGCTTTGGGTGATTGTAGAGTTGTAGGAATTTGCCCATCTCTTCAAGATTGTTGAAGTTGTTTCCATATAACTGTTCATAGTAGTTTCTAATTATTCTTTTGATTTCTGCTGTGTCTGTTGTGATTTCCCCTCTTTCATTTGTGACCGTATTTATTTGTGCTTTCTCCCATTTTTCCTTTGTGAACCTGGCTAGGGGTTTGTCTATTTTAATTATTTTTTTGAAGAACCGACTTTTGGTTTCATTGATCTTTTGGATTGTTTTTTTAGTTTCAATTTCATTTATTTCTGCTTTGATTTTTATTATTTCTTCTACTGGTTTTAGGGGTTTTTTTGTTCTTTTTCTAGTTCTTTGAGATGTGAGATTAGGTTGTTTCTTTGAGCTCTTTCTTGTTTCTTGATATGAGCCTGTATTGCTATATATTTTCCTCTCATTATTGCTTTTGCTGCATCCCATACATTTTGGAAATTGGTATCCTCCTTGTCATTCAACTCAAAGTATTTTTTAATTTCTTTTTTGATCTCCTCATTAGTCCAGTAGTCTTCCAGTAGTGTGGGTTTCAATCTCCATGAGGTAGGAGGGTTCCTTGCCTTCTTTTTATGATTTTATGGTTTGGTGTTCTTCTTGCTTCTTGTATGTCTATTTTCAGCTCCTTCTTCATGCTTGGAAAGTTCTCTTCGATTATCTCCTTGAATATTTTCTCTGTTCCTATGTCTCTCTCCTCTCCTTCTGGGATTCATGTAACTCTTCTATTTCCTTTCCTCATGGAGTCCAATAGTTCCCGAAGTCTTTCTTCATTCTTTTTCCTTCATATTTCTCTTTCCTTTTCTGTTTTGGTTCTTTTTATTTCTGTGTCTTCGAGAGTGCTTATTCATTCTTCCATTTCATCTATTCACTGCCTTTCCCAGAGTTCTTTAGCTCCTCCATTAATCCTTTGATCTCCTGCATTTCTTTCACTTCCCTCTTTAGGGACTCAATTTCATTCTTCTGATTGTTGATTATTTTTCCCTTATCATTATTTTCTTTTATGACTTCTTTCATTTTTTCAATCATGGCAATTTTAAATTCTCTATCTGGAAGGCTCAGAAGTTCCTTCAAGTCACTGTTTTGCAATCTGGTGGGTGATTTTCCTTTTGTGGTGTGTCTTTTCCATGAGGACTTGCTTGGTTGCTTGTAGTTTTTCTTCTCTCTGCTGCTTGTTTTCTAATCTGTCCTATTCGTTGGGACACTGTGTCATTGGTACTGGCTGGCATCTCTTTGGTGTGCTCCTTTTGGGATGTCAGAAACTGGTGGCCCAATCAAGTCCAATACTGTTATGCCAGAATTCCATTAAGGCGCTGTCCCTGGAAATCCACTCCCTCTATATTTATTTAATACCAGAGGTGAGTCTTGAGGTCTCTCAGACTGCCCTCGAGGTGACTGGATCACCCGTGGGCACCTAATCGCTGGATCCCCTTCTGGGTTCCAGCTCAAGGCCAGATGTGGCACCTGGCTTGTGCATGTTTTTTTGGCTCACCTCTAACTGTGGGGATAGCCCTTTCTTAGTTCCACACAGTTTTGGTGAGGTCAAGACTCAAAGCTCCTAGTCTTAAGGATGGCTCATCTGGGAGGCACTTCCCTGCTTCTTCAGACTGCCCAGGTGGTAGCTGGATACCCCACAGGGATTCAACCAATAGCCAGTCTCGGGGCCTGGCTTGTGTGGGCTTTCAGCTCACCTCTGTCTATGGGACAGCCCTTTCGCAGTTCTACACAGTTTTAGTGAGGTCCGGATGCAAAGCTCCATGTCTTAGATATAGTACTACTGGGAGGCACTTCCCAGTGCCCTTGGTCTGTCACGTGGTAGCTGGATCACCCCACTGGGTTCCCAATCGCTGGATCCCCCTCTGAGCAGCCAGTGGTGGGGTCCTGGTTTGTGCCTGGTTTGTGCGGGATTTCATCTCACCACTGACTGTGGGGTAGGCCCTTTCTCAGTTCCACATAGCTTTGGTGAGGTCCAGAGGCAGAGTTCCTTGTCTTAAATATGGCGCATCTCCACTTAGCATGCTTTTGAACTTCATATAAATTGCAACATGTATCTGTACTTACTCCTTTTTAATAACCAGATATTTCATTTTATGGATATACCAAACTTCCATTTATCCATTCATCTGCTGATGATTATTTTGGCTAGCCCCAACCTTTTGATTGTTGCAAGTAGTGCTACTGAAAACATTTGTCTTTAATATTTAAGTGTCTGTACCAGTTCTTTGGATTTTTTACCTGGAAGTGGAATTGCTGTGTTACATGGCAAGTCTGTTTAACTTTTGAGCAACTACAAAATTGTTTTGCACATTTTACATTTTCACCAGCAATGTGTAAGTGTTCCAATTTCTCTACATCCATTCCAATATTTGTTGTTCTCGTTTTTTGGGTTTGTTTTTTTTTTTTTGTTACAGCTATCCTGTTGGTTCAGAAACACAAGAGTTTATTACAGGTCTAGGAATTGTTATTTTTAATCTCATAGCCATGGAGAGAGGAATCCACAGAGTGAAATAACTAAAGCAAGAAGTCTTAAATTAAGTACCCAGGATTGCTAGCTTTTTATTAAAATTTATCCAAGCATTTGACTGATAACTGGTATTTTGGATGATGATGCTCATCCTAGAATCACTCCTACATATCTATATTTTCTTTTTATTCTTTCCTTTAGCTACATGAGAAGAAAAGGAATAATAATTAATGAAACATCTGCTGTTGTATACGCTCAGTTACTCACAGGTCGTAAATATCAAATTAGTCAAAATGGTGAAGTTCATCTAGAGAAACAGTGGTCAAAACAAGTACTTCCATTTGTTTATCAAACTATTGTCAAGGTAAGTCTCCATCAGGTCTCACTTGTATCTTGATACATATTATTGCATATTATATAAATAAAAGGCTATCGGTAATATTTATAATAAAAAGATTAATTCAGCAGTAGATAATGGAGATTATTATTCAGTCTATACACTATATGTTTAGTTTACATATACACTCTATGTATAGTTAGGAAACATATATTTTTTTAACTTAATTTCCAAAAGAAAATCCCAACATTAATACCCATTCTTGCTTATTTCCATTTTTGGTCTCCAAAAATGTTTGCCTGAAATAAATTAGTAATTACTAAAGGCATATGCTTTTGTGTTTATAATCTGAAATTAACATAGATTATGTTAATCACTATCTGAGATTAACGTAGATAGTGATTCTGTAATTTTGGGGAAGCAGTATAGTGTAACAATTAAGGACACATGGTACCCAAATTGATTTCTTAGCTGTATTACAATGGGCATAATTCACCGCCTTTCTGTGCCTTAGTTTCTTCATTTGTAAAATAGGGTTAATAATGGTCTGTGCCACAGAGGATTGTCTTGAGGATTCAGCGAACTAATGAACATGTGAGAAGTACCTAAAATGCCTGGTATACAAGCAGTTAATCAATTATAGCTACTAGTATTTTTATGTGGAAAGTCCTCACATTTGACATTTGCGGACAGCGTAACAATAATCCCATAGGGAAAAAGGACTTGATGTCCAGCCTATAGACATTTTCTTTTTTTTTTTTTATAATAAATTTTATTTTTATATTCCCCATACAATTGCAACCCCCCCATTCTGACCCCAATCCCTCCCCTCCCACCCCCCACCCCCCAAAAAGTGTCTCTGGTTCATAGTTTTTTGTTGATTTTGATTTTCACTTTCTTATAGTTATTCATTTTCCTGGTCCCTTATTTAAGTTTTCTAGATTCCTGCTATGAGTGAGACCATCCGGTATTTTTCTTTTTCTTTTTGGCTTATTTCACTGAGCATGATCCCTTCCAGTGCCACCCATGTTGCTGCAAATTGCATGTGTTTTTCTTTTTTGAATGCTGAGTAATATTCCATGGTATATATGTACCACATCTTCTTGATCCAGTCATCTATTTTTGGGCATTTGCAGCCTATAGACATTTTAACTGTGGTTGATTTGCCTTTTTATTTCATTCTACATAGGATATCCATGCTTTCGACTCCCGTTTCTCCAGTATCAAAACATTGGAAGACTTGTTTCCTCCTAGAAGTATGGTCTTTATGCTTGGAACCCCCTATTATGGCTGCACTGGAGAAGTTAGTTCCAGTTATTGTTCCTAATTAAATTTCTTTATGATTTCAAATTAATACAATTAGTTAACTTCTCGTCTAGATGTAAGTTATAGTTTCTAACTAAAGGGGGAAAAATAAGGGTGAATTTATTCATCTAACTTATGAACATAATCTTTGACTATAGATAGTCTTGAGAAGGTGGGGGAAAGAACTCAAACGCTTATTCTTTTTTAGTTGATGTATTTATTGTGGTGATGGTATGGATAACACAATTCTGAAATTATTTTAGATGTCGTATAGGTTTGATTGAATTTGTAAGTGCATGCAGATATGGACTGGGAAAGCAAGAAAGAACCTGTTGTACATACTAGAATTGGAGCTAATTAGTGTGAACTCAAAATTTCTAAAATGTGTGTGTGTGTGCGTGTATACATAATGCATATATAACCATATATACATATATTTTCTAGTTCTGTTTGTTCAAAAGGATAGGGAAGAAAGCTACCCTGATAACAATGAACATGTGTAATACACAGATCTTGACCTGTGTATTACAGAAGTCACCTGCTTTTGTGTTTGTGATCTTAAATATAAAGGAACAGAATTTTCTAATGCCATACCCCACTAAAGTATCAGGGATTCTCAGAGAAATGACTGATTACAGACTTGGGATAGGAAGATAAAAGATGAGCCAAAAAGCAAGGAAGTGCTCATAAGAATGATGGGAGCATACCTCATAAACACATGGAACCAGGTTGATAAGGCTCCTCTTGGCCTTACCTGGGACAGTTTGAATACCCAAATAATTAAAGAGTAGTGAATATATAAACTACTGGGGACAAAATAGGGATTCAAGTTCTATAGTGATAATATATAGACAAATAAATAGGAAAGCTCTTGCTTATCTTGTCAACAGTAAATGTGGAGAAAGTGCTTGAATCAGAAAACCATCATTTTTAAGCCATATTTATAATAAAGATTGAATCGGGTAAGAATACTCTTTGAAAGCTAAATCTGGGTATAAGGGCATATCTCACTTCTGCACTAATGTGACTGAAAATATGTAACTTTAACCTAATCACAAGGAAGTATCAGAGAACTATGAAATGAGGAACTCTTTTTTTTTTTTTTTTTTTGTGGGACCCTCGCCGGTGGCCGGGGATCGAACTGGCACTGCAGAGGCTGTGGGCAGCCTCGCAACCCAGCGCTCAACCGCAGCGCCACCAGGGGAGGCCCTGTTTTTTCCTTTTAAAGACTGGTTGGAAAGAAGTAATAAACTGAATTCTTCAAACTTTCAGTTTTATCAAAGACAAAAGAAAGACTGTGTATATATTCTGAGTTAAAGGAGGCTAAAAAGGTGTGACAACTCAATACAATTTCTGGTCCTAGCATAGATCCTGTAGTAGAGGGAGAAAAGAGTTCTATGAAGACTAACAAATTAGAATGTGGACAGAAGACTAAAGTGTTGTATCTGTATAAATTTATGTGCTTATTAACTGTACTGTAATTACATAGTAAGATATCCTTCTTAGAAAATTGTTAGGACTAAGGAACAAAATGTATGTAATATGTCCTCCGAACTTTCAGAAAATTAATTATGTATATGTAAATACATGCACAGAACTCAATGTTACAGCAAATGGAGTAAAATGTTTACAATAGGTAAATCTGGGTAAATGTTTAAGTATTCTTTGACCTTTTTTCAGTTTTGAAACTTATTAGTAGTTTGAATTTTCTTGCAAATAAAAAATTAATTTTTAAAAAAGACTGGCTAACAGCTACTAAAGGAAGGATACAGTGACTCAGATTTTCAAGGACAGGATATTATCACCCTTCCTTACAAATTAAAAGGGAATTTATTGTCTTACTGTATTTCAGAAATATAGACACTAAGGTAATTGGAAAAATACGAAATGTAGTGAATTAGATTGAAGCTCTCTTTGATTTTTTTTTCCTTCGAAGGTTCAGGATTCAGGGGATGTGATTACAGAAGGTAGGATTCGTGTGGTTTTCAGCATTCCGTGTGAACCCACTCTTGATGCTTTAATACAGAACCAGCATGTGAGTACTACATCCATATGATTTAATTCAGAATTGATGAACTTCAAAAACATTAGGCTATTTTTGCTACTTCCTTTGAATTTATTATGGCTATTTCATTTAATACTGATTAAATTCTCCCACAGTTGCATCTATTATTATTTAGAAATAGGTAGAATCTGCTTAAAACTTCATGCTGATATTCAGATAGAAGAATGACTGAAATCCCTTTATCAATCTACAATAGTTATTATGGGTTATAATGAAAATAAAAGGAGGTTAGTAAACATCTTTGTAGAAAAGGATACTGAAAATGGACCTTTTTCTCCAAAGATGTTCATTGACCTCCTTTTATCTTTCCATGTTGTATTAAGGAGATGGTCCTGACTGATACTTGACTAAAAGTAATTCACAATCAACCAGCTGTTGCTGCTTATGCTTTTGTTTTCTCTAAGAAAACCTAAATGTTTACTTTCTGTGAAATAAATTTAAGACAGTAGGCTTCAGAATACACGTGAGGAATTTTATGGAAGGCAGAGAATTCTTACGATCAAGTCTCTTTTGGAGAAAGAATTCAGAAAGTATAGTCAAGATACCAGAAGGGTGACCCATTAGTTAAAGAAGCTGGAGCTATATTCAGGGAGTCAATGGACGTGGAAGAGCTTGTTTTCCTTCATCCTAGCTTTTTCTAGATCTGAAAGAGTCTGCCTACTTCTACTATACAGTATTGATAGACAGGTATGCCTTCTCCAGTATATTTTCTTTCTCTTTACATTCCTTCTTTAACTTTTGCACAAGACTTCTTTCATTACTTGAAATCTGAGCTTTTTAGTTTATATTTTCTATGATATTTGTGATGATTTTAATTCATTTTCAATTATACCATAATGTGATATTTCTCAAAAGGAGAACTACTGGCATTTTGGATAGAACAAGTATATATTAAATGGGACTGTCTAATTTAACAGAACAGTTGGCATCCTTGGGCCCTGGACAATAAGTACTAGTAGCCCACGCCAGTTATTGTTAATTTAATGTGCCCCTACACATTTTCAAAGGTTTATTAGAAAAGTAGTGCTACTTGTGATAGAAAACTACTACCTTAATTCTATCAAATCTGGAAAACATACTTAATTCATCTATATTATTTCTAAGTCTGATACTATTGATGGAAAAACTGTGTTACATTCTTTACTAGCTAGCATGTAGTAACTTTATGTTCCAGGCCATCAAAAATGTTTATCCATTTCGGGGTCATTATAGATGTGATCATCTTTAAAAAATAATAGATGAATTAATTCCTTACCAGTCTATGGAAATTTTATTATTAGTGAGAAAATACATTCATCACAAATATGAATATACATATGCATATAAAATCCATATAAATAAATATGTATTATTATTATTATGTACATAACATTAGAAGTATATAGTAGTTTGCCCTAATTAATACTAGACTTGTGAGTAATTTGCTTCCTAGTTAAAAATCATGTGATCATATATTGTTTTTAATAGAGTCTTCATAGTTTCTTCCCTTAAGTACACAACTTAAGGCTGCATTTTATTGATTGTATTAATTACAAGCCACACTTGTTATTTTCACATAATAGTAAATATTAGGGGAAATGAATACTACTTACATCCATACATGAAGGGCACTTCATTTTGCTTAGCAGAAACTATTTCAATGACGTATTAAAGTTTTAATTTAATATCATAATTTTTAAAGCCTCATGTTATCCTAGGCATGTGTTAGACCTACTTGGAATATAATTAGTAAAAATCATAGTAATTCTTGCTTGCAGAATTTGCCACTTAATATGTACAGTAGAGTTTATTTCTTGAAGCAGTTCCACAAACTACATTTCCTCCCCCTTTCATCCATCCTTGAGAATTCTGTCCTTTAAGGAGAGAGAAGAGCAGAAAAATTCTGCCTACAGATCCTTTTATAAAAGTGGTGGGGGTGGAGAGAAAATGGATCACTTTCTTTTGCAAATCCATGCATTGCAACAATCCAGTAGTTATTGATGTCTTATCTTGTTTGTAAAGGTAAAGAAATAACATTTACTGCTTTGTGTTTCCATAATTGACTGTTTTGTTTTTATATTTAAAGAAATATTCTATAAAGTACAACCCAGGATATGTGTTGGCCAGTCGCCTTGGAGTGAGTGGATACCTTGTTTCAAGGTTTACAGGAAGTATTTTTATTGGAAGAGGATCTAGGAGAAAGTAAGTTTATGTTAGAGAACTTTACTTAAAGTGGCAGAAAAAATTAAATGATAAAGATAAAAATGGTTAATATTTCAGTATTTATTCTCTTATTAATTGTTCTGAATTTTCCTTTAAAATTATGCATAAATTCTCTGATGGTGATCTTTCATCTAAATGGAACTTGTTTTAGGTGGTTGGAAAGAAAGTTCTCATTTTAGTGGCTAATAAATTGAACCTTGAAAAAAGGTATCAGAAGGTGTGTGTGAATCTCAATAATATTTCCCTGTGTTTTCTTATTTCATTCTCCTCTCCATATAATCTATTCATATGCTTTAACTTGGGTTTTGAAGCCTTTCCTCTAGTTTTTCAATTACAGCTACTTTGGAAATTAATCATGATAACTAAAATATAGAGGAACAACCAAAAAAAACTTTTCTAAGAATTGAAAGCAAAACTTTTTGTTCTTTGAGCAAAATTTTAAAACTTGTGTATGTGTGGTTTAAATTCAGCCCTCATGGAGACCATAAATCAAATGTGGGTTTGAATCTCAAATTCAACAAAAAAAATGAGGAGGTACCTGGATACACTAAGAAAGTTGGAAGTGAATGGATGTATTCATCTGCTGCAGAACAGCTTCTTGCAGAGTACTTAGAGAGGTAAGTGCCAAAGGAAATATTAGTAGGAATTCAAAACTTTCGAAGGCAGTAACTATTTATTGTGCCTTATATCAGTTTTTGAGAAAGAAGTGTTTCCTTTAGTCATATGTGACCTGTGTTATACATAAAAACTTAATTGTGTGTCATAAAATATTACAGCCATTAGCTAAAATAGAGTAGAAAAATGCTTCACTTACATTATTTAAAATGCAAAGATATGATGAGACAGTCTTCTTTTAATTAAAATTTTCCTTATCTTGCTATCATAAATTATTAAAATAGTTATTTGGGCATGTTTATATCAGTAATAAAAAAGTGTTGGTATGGATAAGCAAAACAGCTCTTGACATAATACTTTTTCCTGAGTTTTAAAACTCCAACTGGAAAGTAGATTAACTATTCTAGAATTATTGAACTTTATTGCTATGATGGTCTAAGTAATCAACATGCCTTCACCTCTCATTATAAAAAAGACAACTGGGGGAGAGGAAGGACCAGGGTCAAAATAAGGTTGGGGGGGGGTGCAATTGTTCGGGGAATATAACCAAATGAAAATGCATACATTGTGCAAAAATGAAAAATGATGTAAGAATTATATAATATAAAATATTAATTTAAAAAAAGAAAGAAAACTGGGTACCAAAATTAACCAAAATTTCTCAGTAAGAAAGATTTACAGGAAGTTTCTTTACTTTTCATTCACAATTAAATTGAATATTCTTTCCATTGTTTCTCTAGTTTCTAACCTCATATTTGAGGATCACTGTATTAGTTTTCTAGGACTGACATAGCAAGGTTACAAACTAGGTGATTTAAAACAATAGAAATTTATTATCTCACAGTTCTGAAGACCAGAAGCCCAAAATCAAGTTATTCACCCAACAGGGTTTCCTCTGAAAGAGCAAGAGAACAAACTGTTCCCTAAATTCTCTCTTAGTTTTCTAGAGCTTCATGCATTCTTTCCTTGCCTTGTATAGATCTATCACTCCAGTCTTCTTTTTCCATTTTTTTTTCTTTTTGAAACATCTTTGATTATTCAATCTTCCTTTTTCACTTGGTGCTCTCCCTGTTCTTCACATCATCTTTCCTCTGTATATGTCTATCTCTGCGTCCAAATTTCTTCATTTTAATAAGGGCACTGCTCATATTATTAGAATTCACCCTAATGACTTCTATAAAAGCCCACTTTTGCAAATAAAAGTTACATTCTTAGGTACTAAGAATTAGGACTTCAGTATATCTTCATGGGGAAGGTGGAGGGTATAATTCAACCCTGCATTTCCATTTGAAAGTTTATATTATTTCTGGGCCTCCCCTGGTGGCGCAGCAGTTGAGTGCTCAGCTGCGAAGCTGCCTGCAGCCTCTGCAGCTCAGTTCGTTCCCCAGCCACCAGCGAGGGTCCCACATGGTGTGCAGACCTCTCCTGCCTAGCCCACTGCTCCCCTTAGTATTTTGTCATTCTGCCTGTTCTGTTCCCCACTCGGGCTCTGGTGAATTCTCTCACCCTCCCGCGCTTCTGACTGTATCCAGTGCTTGTATAAATAAATAAATAAAAATAAATCTTTAAAAAAAAGAAAAAAAGAATGAATCATAGTGCAGCTTCTCTCTGTACCTATTTCTACTTCCTTCCTTTTTTCTTTTCATTCTGTAGATGTTGATTTCACAAGCATGGCATACTCACCAATGAAATTCCTGTATGCTTATCTCCATCTCAGACTCTGTTACCTGAAGACTTTATACTTTGCAGTAACATTGTTTAGCAGTTCTACTTTCATTAATTCCTCCTTTCTGTATGGCACCTATTTTCTCCTCCTTATGCCCCACCACCCACTCAATGCCCTGGTGTACCCAAGGCTAGAGCAGCCCCTGTTCACCCTCTCCTAATGATAAGCTACAGGTCTTCTGCTAGGGTAGAAGATGAGTAGCCACATGACTGTCTAATGACATGTTATACCAATTTTAAACAAAATGTCTGTTAAACTTTTCCCCATACTAGCTTTATTTGTTTATTTATTGGTTATATCCAAAAGGGAAGGTTTATTAGGAAAAAAAGGAAATAAGATGACCCTTGCACAGACACAACCAGGCAGAAAGAGCATTTTAAAGGAATGGGTTTGTTAAGAGATGCCTGCATAGACACAAGTGGACAGTCTTGGGATAAGAGCTGCATGTATTGCAGCTTTGAAATGTACCTTTTGCACACTTCTACAATTCAAATGAACTTTCATCCTATTGACTTTCCACACTGGTCACGTATAGTGCAGCTTATTCCCATCAAATCAGTAACTAGAGACAGTTTCTAAAATATTGTTAACAACTCATGCTACCAAATTCTCTTCTCTGTCTTTCTGCCATTTTCATACTTTACTATTCTTTTAGTGATTTAGAAAGGAAATGAAAATAAGTACTTGTTCATTCTGCTTTCTAAATTCAAAAGTACTACTCTATTCAGGAAGCAATAGTGTTTTGAGGAGTATTAAAACAAACTTTTAATGTGTGTCAACATGTTCTGTTGTGCAGTGCTTCAGCTTTTTTTGAAAATTAGAAAATGAACTTGTAGGAACTTTTTTTCCATTGAGGCATTTTATTTGCACATGCTTTATATACGTAGAAAAAAAAATCCCAGGATTTTCCCTAATGTGTGTTTTTGTCTTGTTTCTTCGTGGTTCATTATACCAGCTGAGGTTGTTAGTACAGTGAAAGCAAACTGACAGGACAGAAGCAGATTATTATGCCATTTTTCTACATCTTTGAGTTGCCCATCAAATCTGAGGCTGGTCACTTCACATTTGTTTAACCTACCTGTGAGGTTCACAGTAATTTTCCTAGCTCTGTAATCATCAGTGATTTCAAATTCACGAATGTAACCATACTTTATCATCACAGTTAGAAACTGATCAATGACTTTACAGCATGGCCTTGTAGGAGCTTGGTCTTTGCTTCTCTTTTTTTGGCCTTATTGATGCTCTTGAAAGCATCAGCTAGGACATTTATGTGCTCCATTGTGGTGGCACAGGAAGATGGTGCTATGACTTTTCCAACAACCCAATACATTTGACAAAAGAGCTACTCTTGTCAGTCACCTGCCATTATGATCTAAAATCTAAGGGCAGAGATTGAATTTTATAAGTAATTGAAGTTTATTACAGTTTATAGATTGAATCATTTTTCCCTCAGTTACTGAGTGTTGGAGGGCCTATCAGAATTTTCATATATCTTAGTCTGCCTATCCCTTTTTAGTACTCTGTATAGTAAATCAATCCTCAGTATATTTTGTATGTCTCCTTAAGTTCCAAAATTATTTGATAGGAAGTTTGTGTAAAGTTAGCCATGTATTTTTTTTAACTAATATTTTTATTTCTTTGTTTGGCTAGAGCTCCAGAACTGTTTAGTTATATAGCCAAAAATAGCCAAGAAGATGTGTTCTATGAAGATGACATTTGGCCTGGAGAAAATGAGAATGGGTAAGCCAAATTTAGGGTATTGTTGCCTTGGAATTAAAATTAGAGTTTAGAGTGATAGATACAGGCAGCCTAGTGTACCAGAAATTTATATTACTTTTGGGAGGAGCTTTTGTATTGTTTTGATTTTGCTCTAAGATTTTTTTTTTTGAGGTTTATTTATTTATGCATACAAGAACTGGGGTACAGGCCAGAGGTGTGGGGGTGAAAGGACTTACCAGAAACAGAGTGGGGACCAGAACAGGCAGACTGACTGAAATACACTGCTGAGGGGAGCAGCAGGTGAGTCCGGAGAGATCTGCTGCGCCATGTGGGTAGCTCCCTGGCCAGGGATCAAACTCCTGCTGCAGTGACTACAGATAGACTCATAGGCTGCATCTTAATCCCTTGAGCCACCAGGGAGGCCCTGCTCTAAGATGTTGTCTTTAATTTTGTTTATGTCAATGAACTACTTTAAAACTAATTTTGCCATTTTATTTATTTCTAAAAACATATCCATATGTATATTAGATTTATAATTAGTTCCAAGTACATGTAGTGAGTAATAATTATATATTTAATGTCCTTTGTAATTCACAGCTCTCAGAAAGTTTATGTTTAGGTCAGGCCTTTTTTATAAGCCTTCGTAAAGTTCTAATCAATGTGAAAAAATTGCTATTTTTAATGTAGTGCTGAAAAAGTTCAAGAAATTATTACTTGGCTAAAGGGACATCCCGTCAGTACTTTGTCTCGTTCTTCTTGTGATTTACAAATTCTGGATGCAGCTATTGTTGAGAAAATTGAGGAAGAAGTTGAAAAATGCAAGGTACTAATTTTCCATAACTCAGTTTGTTGATGAGATTTGAAGTTAAAAGGACTATATATTCTTTTACAAATAATTTATTTGTGTTTCAACCAAATATGCTGAGTGATTCTAATTTATGTAAAATCATCCTATAGTTTAAAAAATGTTCCAGCCATTTTCAGTGGCCAGTAATAGGTTTATCTTAGTATTATAAGAACACTTAAGTATACAAAAACCAAAGCATTTTATGACCTACTGTTTCTGGTCAAAATGGAAAGTTTATGATTTAAAAATACTAAATCCCCATACTTCCTATTCTGTGTTTTTAACTTTTCATATTTGTTTTTTAAAACACAAAAATTTTATTTGATCTTTACAGAATCACTTATAAAATGTACTTTCCCACTCACACTCATTCAATTACTAAGGGTCTTTGAAATCCCACTAATCTCTCCTACTTTTTATGTCTTAACTTTAAAAAATATAACTTCCTATGTAAGTTTTAACTTATTTTCTTTATTGAATATTTGATCACTTATTTTGGTGTACTAGAAAGTAGATTGATAATATTCCATTTTTTTAACTTTAGGTTTTTTCACACATTTGCCTTTTTATTAAAATGATGTTGCCAGGCTAACATAGCACTCTCGTTTGAACTAATAGAGTAAGTTAAAAAACAGGCTCTGAAGCTATCTTCCCTTTCCTCTTTCAATACATATTAACTGTAGGCAAGATACTTCAGCCTTCCAATTCTCCATTGCCTCATCGGTAAAATGGAGAATAAATGACCTACCTCATAGGGTCATCAAAAATATTAACTGGGTTAATATATGTAAATTTCTTCTAATAATACCTAGCTATTATTAATACCTAATAATGCTTAGCTACTATTAATTTTTGAATTGTTTTATCACATACTCAAGAGCTATTAATATGGTCTAGAAAATCACCAGTAGATGACTCTTTTTCTCTTTAGGAAAAATATAAGGCTTAAAGTGAAGAGTTTGATTTTTTTGTGCAGAGGCATGCTAAATTAATCTTCTTTGTAAAGTTCCAATTTTAGTGTATGTGAAGCGAGCACAAGATTTTGATTTTTCGATAGATTGTTGATATTCAGCTATGGAGAAGAAAGTCAACATTCCTTTTTAATTGTCTTTCAACAGACAGTAAAATTCCTTCATCCAGTATTGGTTTTGAAATGAATTTTACAATTAACCAAAGTTTGTAACTTTAAGCCACCGTATTTTTTTAACACATTTATATTGAGAACTTTCTGAAATGTTTTATACATTTCTCTCTTACTTTACAATCTGAAGATGCAAATACATAAATGTTATCTTCAATACAATATGTTTTTAAATGTGTGTGCATATAGATAAGATAGGAATTTTTTAACCTGTTAATGTGCCAAGGAGGTATGATTTATGAATTTTTCCCTTTAGTCTTATGATGTTATTAGAAGAGCAAAGAAATGAAGGAAAGATAAACACAGCATTCAAAACACAATCTAAATTTTTCCTTATAATGCAGAGTTAGCACTCAAAAGTTTTTCTGTAATGAAGGCTCTGCAGTAGTTTTCTTATTGGAAAAACTCAGCTAAGTATCAAATTCTTAACATTACTGGAGCTTAAAAAACATACATTCCACCCCTATATTCCACCCCTAGGACAGAGCAATACTTCTCAAACTATATATACAAGAGAATCACTGGTGTATCTTCTTAAATACGGATTCTGATTCAGTAAACCTAGGATGAGACTTGAGAGTCTGTTTCTGATGTGTCCCCAGGTGACCACATTTCGAATAGCCCGACCCTAAAACGTCTTGTTTAGTAGATGTGGGATGAGGCTATTTTGAAAATCCCCTAGTATATTAATTTGCCTAGTGAATCAGGTATAATTGTCCTGTCCTCTGTTCAATATACTGTCATTTATATTGCTTAAGTTGTTGTGTTTGACTTTTAAAATTACTTTATATGTTTTCTCATAGTTTTTCTTCTCACTGTTGTTAGTGGATGCTAGTTGTACTCTCTTTGTCATTTGAGTCAGCCATGGTCTGGAAATACAACTTGTCAGTAAGGCCTTCACCGTTCACCCTGTTTAAAATTACAATCTCCCCACACACTGCCGATCCCCCTTACCTGCTTTATTTTCCTTTATGCTTTTTTACTTTCAAGCAGTGCTATTTATTTCCCTGTTTTGATTTTGTTTGTCTTTCTCAACTAAATAATAGAATAGTTCACTGTTTTGTTACCCAGCCCCTAGATCTATACTATCTAAACTTTTCCTTACAATGCAGACACATAAATGACACGAAATGTTTAATGACACGTAAATGTAAGTCAGTGAATATTTGTTGAAAGAATAAATAAAATGTCTCTATTATAATTTAGGGGGAAAGACTGAAAAAGTTTGAGCATTTTACAATGTATAAATTACCTTATTTTGTACAGACTCTCTAGATTGGAACTGTTTTGTGCCCTTTTATACTTATTTTCATAAGCAATGTTCTAAAGATAGGCGGCTGCCATGTAAGTAAACTCTGCATTTTTCTAATTAGATGAGAATGCATTTTTAAAAAGAATGTAAAAAAAATTAAAAGAATCTAATGGCTTTAGTAGTTTTCAGTTGCAATGGATGTAAATTATTCTCACTTTTTTATTAGGTCAAACTGGTAATATTATTTCTATCTTACAGGTGGAAAGAAATGGATGCTTAAATTAAGAATGAGTTTACAGAACTGACAAGTAGCAAATAGAAGAGAACACTCTTCTTTCAGTATCTTTTAGATAATAAAAAATCCAAATATCAAAGCCAGTTTCATAACAGATCTCAAAATCAGCAACCTTTTTAAATAAGTGCCACCTTCATTTTTATAAGTACCCACAAACCCCACAGTATTGTCACAGATGAATACTTTGTACCTTTTTTTCCTTTAATGAAAGTTTTCTCTGACCAGTGTGTATAATTCTTTAGAATAAAAAAGCACTTGGATAAGATAACATTTACATAAAATTCAAAATTGACAAATCTTATCCTTTGTGTTAGTAAGAAGATTACTTTCTGGAAGGATAATCACTGGAAAAGGAGGTCAGGGTTCCCTGTATTGTGCTCAGTAATGGTCTCCTTCTTGAACTAGAAGTGATTACACATAGATATAACTAAGACTATAAAAATTCATCAGACTATAGTCTTTTAAATCTGCAGTTTCTTTCTGTATGTCTTATACCTCAAGAAAATTAGGCATTGTAAGTAATTTAGTTCCTTACCACATCTAAAGAACTTCAGATATTCTTAAATCAAGCTTTGCCTTGATTTTCATTGTAATCTCTTGATTTCACTGAAGTAAACATGATAGATGAGCTTATTTTCAGTTAAAAATTTTTGGTATTTCATTTGACTTTAAAATTCAGACATGCCCACATACTAAATAATAATTTTATATTTTTTTAATATTTCAATTTTTTTTCTTTCCTTAGCAAAGAAAGAATAATAAGAAGGTACGAGTAACAGTGAAACCCCATTTGCTGTACAGAGTAAGTTTCCTATCAGAGACTTCAGTTATTATTTTTACTTTGAAAGTTTAGAAGGATGATGTTTTCCATATATTAGTAGAAAAACTTTTTAGATATAATAATAATAAAATTTTCTTCTCTTCAGCCTTTAGAACAGCAACATGGAGTCATTCCTGATCGGGATGCAGAATTTCGTCTCTTTGACCGTGTTGTAAATGTGAGAGAGAATTTTTCAGTTCCAGTTGGCCTTCGAGGCACCATAATCGGAATTAAAGGGGGTAATATATCAATACTTAACTTTTTGTATTTGTACAGTAAAACGTAAATATGTGTATCCTCTATCGAAATAGAGAGTAGTTATCAATTAGGAAAAAAAACAAAAACCTTTTATGTTTTAAGTTTTTTTCAGTTTTAGTTTTCAGAGAATATTCTCCTTTTCTGTTTTGGGTAATCTTCTAGAAAGTGATTAAAAGAAGGTGAAGTGCTGAGAATTTGGTCATTTATATATAGAACATTAAAATTATACCAGATTTGGCTGATATACATATGTTTTCATGAAACCAGGAAAAACATTTTGTCACTTCTCCTTAGTTTAGTTTACATCTAATGTTGCACAGAGTTTTACCTTGATTCTCATTATAATCTTTTGATTTCTGTGGAGAAATAAACATGATACATGAATTTATTTTCAGTTAAAGTTTTTGAAAAATAAATGTTCATGTTAATTTGAGTTTTGAATACAACTAGATTTATATAGATAGATAGATAGATAGATAGATATCTCAGACCTGTCAATCTGCTGCATAACATGTACATATAGTCAACATTACTATACTATACACCTAAAAATGGTTAAGATGATAAATTTTATGTGTTTTTTTACAAATGAAAAAAAGGAGGAAAGAAACGGAACAAATTTAAATGTACCTCAAATGATGAGTGGGCAACTTTGCAATATAGTTTCCAAAACAAAAGTCAACCCAGAAAGAAGCAGCAAATCAGGTGCTCACAGCATTGTCCCTCCATGCCTCTCTTTCTTGGGTTTAGAGTTTAGGTAAAAGTGTCAGGTTGAAAGGTCTGGAGGTCAACAATGAGTGAGCTCCATAGTCTTTGTTTCAACAAGGCTAGGGAGGGCTGGGATATGTGTGACATCATCCCACCCTACCTGTTCTACCACAATATCAGAGGTTATATTAGTCAGGATTCTTCGGGGAAACAGAACCAGCAGAATGGAAAGGGAAGTGATGGCAGGCAGGTTGGGGGGAGGAGGGGCAGAAAGAAAAAAGAGATAGTCAATTACAAAGTTAGGATATAGACTATTATTAATTTGGGTATAGAACTCAAAACATTATTATAGCTAAGTGGGCCTCCCCTGGTGGCACAGTGGTTGAGAGCTGGGCTACGAAGCTGCCCACAGCCTCTGCAGCGCCGGTTCTATCCCTGGCCACCGGCAAGGGTCCCTCATGGCGCACAGACCTCTCCTGCCATGCCCGCTGCTCCCCTCAGCAGTGTATTTCGTCAGTCTGCCTGTTTTGTTCCCCACTCTGGCTTTGGTGAATTCTCTCACCCTCCCGCACTTCTGACTATACCCAGTGCTTGTATAAATAAATAAATGAATCTTTAAAAAAAAAAAACATTATTATAGCTAAGTATTTCACTTTACCTTGTTGTTTTTGGTAAATTTAACTTCTGGATAAATCTTAGCACTCCGCATACCAAATTTAGTCTTCTCTGTTTCTAAGTTAATTGTACCACTGTTTTTCTCATATGTTCCATGTCTGTATTATGAAATGCATAACCTACCAACTCAACTCACAGAATCTGAGTCAGCTTTGTCATTTCCATCCTTTTCATCTCCACAAGTCTCAAACTTCTGCCAACTCTATCTAAATATACATCCATTCTTCCTTTCTATTACCCTCATTACTGCCATGTTTCAAATTTTCATTGTTTTTTCTCTGACTTAGATATACTGCAAAGTATCTTTTGCATTGACTCTCTTATTACTGATAATTTCAAACATATACAAAAGCAGAGAAGTGTAGTGAGTACAGCATGTAATTCAAAATATTATTGTTTTATTTACGTTAATATCTGCAAGATAACCTGTGAACCATTTGCTTTCCTTTACTGTCTGTATTCCCCCAACCCTTTTTTATATAGGTGTAATGCTTCTTATAATTCTAGATACTTAAATGCTGATTTTTATTATATGATGTTATAAATATCATTCTTTTTAACAGCTACTAGAGAAGCTGACATACTATTTGAAGTATTATTTGATGAAGAATTTCCTGGAGGTTTAACAATAAGGTTTGTATTTCCAGATGAAAATTGCACTTTGTAAATATGCCCATTTGACCACTGACATATTACTCATTTGTTATTTAAATTCCTACTATGTGCAAAACATTATACTTGCTACTAGGAATGTAACAGTAAATAGACCTGTTTTCTGCTCTCATAGAGTTTTCGTTTTAGTGGGAGTAGTAATTAAGTAACAGATTGCTGTATTTATTATTTAATTTAAATGTAACAAGTGCTAGAAAGGAGATCATATTTCTGTAGCTGTATGACCTGCCCAGAGAGTTCCAGAAAGACTATTTGAAGAAGTGATATGTAAGCTTGGACATGAAGAATGAATTAGTTAACTGCGGGGGAGGGAAAGAGGAGGAGAGGGACAAGAAGAGGGATAGATACTCAGGAAGAGAGACCAGTTTATGCTACAAAGGAGTTTTTCATTTACTCAAAAAAAAAAAAAAACAAAAACAAAAGCTACATAGCCTCCCTGGTGGCTCAAGGGGTTAAGATACAACCTATGAAGCTGTCCACAGCCACTGCAGCATGAGTTCGATCCCCAGCCAGGGAGCAACCCACATGGCGCAGCAGACCTCTCCTGACTCGCCTGCTGCTCCCCTCAGCAGTGTACTTCAGTCAGTCTGCCTGTTCTGTTCCCCACTCTGTCACTGGTGAATCCTCTCACCCTCCACACATCTGGCATGTACCCCAGCTCTTGTATGCATAAATAAAAATAAATCTTAAAAAAAAAAAAAGAAACTACAGCAACTATGTAAGATTAGATAGAATAAGAGAGAAAAGTAAGAACAATACAAGAACTTGTCGGCCAACCTTCAGGCCATGTTAAGGATGTTGGTATTTTGGTAACTTAGCCTTTATCTCTAAAGTAATATGAAATCATCAAAGCAGAAATATTACATGATCAAATTTGTTTTTTTAATGATTAAAGAATTTTAATGGTTAAAGTATCCTTTGAATTTAGTGTCATGTAAGTCTTTGTCATCTGTATAGTGGAGTGTGAGTACACAAGCCATATTGGGTGTTTTGACGGTATATAGCAGGTGTAATATTTACAAATTCAATGCAATTCTAATAAAAATCTCAATGGCATTCTTCCAAACAAGGGAACAAAAATTGATGAAATCACAAAAAAACCTTGAATAGCCAAAGCTCTCTTGACTGAAAAGGGGAAGAATGGAGGAATTACACTCCCAGACTTCAGACTATACTACAAAGGCAGGTATATTAATGGAGGCAGGAAATCCAGGTGATTTTTGAGAAGTTTAACTATTAAGGAAAAAAGAAAAATAACTGGAGATTTTAAAAAAAGAACTTGGATTATTTGGTTTTAAGTTAACATGGGTGAGACTTGAGTGTACACTGGGGGAAGGACTAATACAGAGTTTAAAGTTACAAGAGAAAGGGTTCAAGTAAGATGTATATAGCATTTTAGAAAATACAGGCTCTCTTATTTAACCTTTGTGTTACCTTAGGTTAGTTAGTTACAGGTGTTCTGATCCTCAATTTCCTCATCTGTAATGAAGATAGATACTTCACTAGGTAATTTTGGGAAAATTAAATGAAGTAATTTCCAGCTAGCTTATTACCTTTTGAAAAACCAAATGGAAAAGGGAGTGTACTTAACTTTTCTATTTTGACTAATGGGTAATTAAAATAAAAATTGCTCTTTGGTCTTTGAAAAAATACTGACTCTCAGTTCTGATATCAAGTGATCACCTTCAGAATGATATTAGTATTGTTCTACAACTTAAATGTGCCTGATACCCAGACTGCCTTCCTCAAACGTTACTGTCTTCAGTTGTTACTATCTGTACTCTTAAAGTGAAGCAGTAGAGTCTGGATCCCATATCTGATATTCTTTTTCTTTCTCATTTCTACAGTCCAGTAATTTATTTTAAAAATCAGTAATTTCAAATTCCACAAACAAAATTGAAGAACAGCTGTATTTTCTTTGAATTCTCTCTTCTGTACACTCAGTGATTACACCACCACAATATCCAACATACGCAAACCTCAGGGAAAGGTTAGTAGAAACACACAGGTGGGGGGGCCTCCCTGGTGGGGCAAGGGTTAAGGCACAACCTATGAAGCTGTGTGCAGCCTCTGCCGCACGAGTTCGATCCCCCAGCCAGGGAGCAACCCACATGGCACAGCAGACCTCTCCTGACCTGCCCGCTGCTCCCCTCAGCAGTGTATTTCAGTCAATCTGCCTGTTCTGTTCCGCACTCGTCTCTGGTGAATCTTCTCACCCCCCACACCTCTGACCTGTACCCCAGCTCTTATATGTATAGATAAATAAATCTTTAAAAAAAAAAGAAAGAAAGAAACACACAGATGGGATCATGGTGCTCTTAGTTCCTCTAAGAAATTGTCTCACAAAAAAAGCACAGGATATAGAACAACATAAGGATTCCTGTTACATACAGAGTGAGCAAAAAACAAACTAGCATTTTCTTTTTATATGCATAATGAGGAAACCTGCATGGATTACAGGGCCTTTGATGTACATTTAAAAATCAGGCAAGTTGTCTGTAATGCATTTTTCAAATAATTTGGAGTGCACTGATTAGTGTTGGCTTTGACATTCTTGCATGGTCACATGTCAATATTTTCGCTGTAGCCTGTTGATCTTATTTTTTTATGAAAATGTTTGGTTACCAAATAACCTTAGCCCAAAACTTTGATAATGAATTTTTAAGATGATTAGCTTTTTCCCAGTGTCCTTTTATCCCTCCTAGTTAGAGGCAATAGAGATTTGTGTAAATGATTAGCTGCCTGCAGCATATTCGTTTCTGTAATGTATTATCTTTAAGTATAGCTCTCATGAAAATATTTTCTAGACATCTTAACAAAAATTTCTCATAAGATAATTCTGCTTCTCCACTATCTTTCAATAAAATAAAATTATATTCTCAGAGAGGGAAAAATATAGGTGATAAGTTGAATATTTTTGACAAGAGAAGACTTATTTTAATGCCTAACTCTTTTATGAAGACTAGGAAGGTAGGAAACCGCAAATACCTATCAGTTCCTGAACTTGAGGATGGGAAGATAAGGATAAAAAAGGGCTCAAATCAACAATTGACCAGGAAGCAAATGTGATCAAAATGTTCCCTTTTGCCTAAGTAGAGCCACACAGAATGACTCCACACTTGGGTAGTTCCTCAGCTAATCCAGACTATAAACACTAGGTATTAAAAAAAGCTTGGAGCCTCCCCTGGTGGCACAGGCGGTTCAGTGCAGTGCTGTGAAGCTGTCCCCAGCCTCTGCAGCGCCGGTTTGATCCCAGCTGGCCGGCGAGGGTCCCACATGGCGTGGCAGGCCTCTCCTGTCTTATCCGCTGCTCCCCTCAGCAGTGTATTTTATCATTCTGCCTGTTCTGTTCCCCGCTCTGTCTCTGGTGAATCCTCTCACCCTCCCGCGCATCTGTCCTGTACCCGGTTCTTATATAAAATAAATGAATAAAAAATATATATATATAGAAGAGAAGAAAAAAAAAGCTCGACATTTAATTCACAAAATTTTAGTTATACTCAGGTATTATATTACCACTCTTGTGAGGGCAGACTGAGTCAGACACATACATACCTGGCACATGCATCTATACCTCTAAAACAGTATTTTTTACCTCTCTTAGTGGTGCCAAATAGTTTCTTAGGAAATTTTTTAAGAAATATATAGTCCCTTGTGCTCTTCTCTCCCCTATTGATCGTCTCCCTGCTCCTCCCCTGTAGAATTTCTCTGATTTATAGTTGCCTGTTAATTTTGGTTTTTTGTTATTTTTTTTCCTCATCCTTATTTGGTTCCCCTATATTCCTCCCATAAGTGAAACCATCCGATATTTTTCTTTTCCCTTCTGACTTATTTCACTGAGCATAATCCCTTCCAGCTTCATCCATGTTGCTGTGAATGGGATGAGTTTATCTTTTTTGATTGCTGAATAGTGGTGCACAGGTGAATTGGTAGTGGGAATTTTACAGGGACTACACCTGAGAAGAGAGAACAAACATTGTACAAACATGAACAATGTTATCAAATATATATAAATAAATATTTAAAAAGAAAAAAAGATTTTGTTTCATATGTAAATCAATTTTAAACAATGTATATAACAATAGTAAAAAGTGGATTACTCAAAATAGCTTTCCATTTTGGTTTGGGAATAAAAAGAAATGACTTGGGTAAAGATTGAAATAATACCATAACAAAATAAACTTTTGTCTTTGTAATTAAAAAAGATCATATAATGTGATCTTTCTATGAGATCAAGTTCCTCTACTGAATTTAAAAGTAATGTTTATTAATTCAGATTATTGATTGTCCATCAAAAACTATTTAACTCTTCTACTTCCTGGAATATTTAGTATTATTTCCCTTGGACCCTAATAATTACTTTTTACTTTTAGGTGCTCACCTGGTAGAGGTTATCGATTGCCAACAAGTGCCTTGGTGAACCTTTCTCATGGTAGTCGCTCTGAAACTGGAAATCAGAAGTTGACAGCCATTGTGAAACCACAACCAGCTGTGAATCACTGTTGCTCAAGTTCATCAGTTTCTTCTGGGCATTTGGGAGGCCTCAATCATTCCCCTCAATCACTTTTTGTTCCTACTCAGGTAAGAACTCATTTCTCTCCACCCCATTTATATGTCACAGACAGACTTTGTAAGTGGAAACTTAATCTGACTCAGGTTTCCTTTTTTTTCCCATAATTATTCATTTTTTTATTAATGAAACGCCATTGTTTTTAGTTTCGCTTTTTTTTTTTTAATAGAGGCATGTTTATTTATTTATTTATTTGTTTTGTTTGTTTGTTTTGTTCATACATGCACTGGGTACAGTCAGAAGCGCGGGAGGGCGAGAGAATTCACCAGAGCCAGAGCGGGGAGCAGAGCAGGCAGAAGGACCGAGGTACACTGCTGAGGGGAGCAGTGGGCGGCAGGAGAGTCTGCGCGCCATGTGGGACCCTCCTCTGGTGGTCGGGGAGCAGCCGGGGATCGAACCGGCGTCGCAGAGGCTGCGGGCAGCTTCACAACCCAGCGCTCAACCGCTGCGCCACCGGGGAGGCCCTAGTTTCGCTTTTTTATTTAAAACTTTTTGGTTCATTTTTTTCCAAAATATATGATTTCTCCCTTCTGTATTTTTCCCACCATCAAAGCACCTGTAGTCCTCTACCATAGTCCATTATGCTCTCCTCCCCACCTATTTTCTTCCTTACCTCCATTTGTTTGGTTTCTCTATATTCCACATGTAAGTGAAACCATGAGGTATTTTTCTTTCTCCTTTTCACTCACTTCACTTAGGATAATCCCTCACAGTTCCATCCATGTTGCCAAAATTGGCATAAGTTTATCTTTTTGATTTCTGTGTAGTAAGGATGTAAAATAAAAAGTAAATAAATTAATAGTTTTGGATTGAGTCAATTCCAGATTTGTTTTAATAAACTAGTAAAGAATGCCATTGAGGGCCTCCCCGGTGGCGCAGCGGTTGAGCGCTGGGTTGCGAAGCTGCCCGCAGGCTCTTTAGTGCGGGTTGGATCCCTGGCTGCTCCCCGGCCACCGGAGGAGGGTCCCACATGGCGCGCAGACATCTCCTGCCGCCCGCTGCTCCCCTCAGAGTGTACTTCGGTCCTTCTGCCTGCTCTACTCCCTGCTCTGGCTCTGGTGAATTCTCTCACCCTCCCATGCTTCTGACTGTACCCAGTGCTTGCATAAATAAATAAATAAATAAATCTTTAAAAAAAAAAAAAAAAAAGAATGCCATTGATAGCATTTTACAACTCTGTTATAAAGTTACAGTTGTATTAAAGAAGAAATTTACTTTCTTAAATAATGAGCATGAGTATGTCTTTATTTAGTTTTCAAACTAACATTTACAGTTTTTCTATAAGATATATATATACACACAGTGAAATATTATTCAGTAATCAAAAAAGATAAACTCATACCATTTGCAGCAACATGCATGGAGCTAAACAGGATTATGCTAAGCAGAATAATCAGATGGAAAAAGAAAAATATAGAATGGTTTCACTCTAGTTGGAATATAGGAATGCCAAAGAATTGGGAAAAAGACAAAACTTGCAAGCTGAGTATAGATTTGAGGCAAACAGCAAGGGAGGGAGAGGGAAGAGGTTCAAAACAGGGAAGAGCAAAAAGGAGTATGATGATGGTACACAGGTGCTATGGTGGTGAAATAATTATGGGGACTACACCTGAGGGGAGAACAATGATGTAAAAAAAAAATTAGAAAAAATAATTTTGAGATATAATTCACATTTAAAAATTAATTTTTTTCTTAATTAAGCTAAAGTCCTTTGAGATCTATGAAATGACATAATTTGAAAGGTAAAAGGGAGAAGACTATATTATCTTTATCAAAAACAATTTCCAAGTTTCCACTATGCTCTTCTGGGTGATTTCCTTTATTACATGTTATTGGGCACGAAAGTTGGATTATTTTGTGCAGGACAGTTAACTTTATTTAATTCCATGGTCCAAATCTTAACCACGCTTTTTAACCAAATAATACATGCCTATAATAATCCAATTAGAAATCACACTTAAGTAGATAATAACTAAGAAAGCAAAATTTTTCTCAAATCTCAGGTGGTGACTGTTAAACTTTTAGCATATTTTATTCTGTATGATATTGGTATTATATAACTAATATGAGAATTAATAGATTGCTTTTGTGTAAGATAATTTTAAAAATAACCCCATTAGATGTTAATTTGAATAAAATATCAATTATTTTAGAACACAAAAATATCTGTTGTTGGGGATATTGAGTCAGTGTAATATTTTATAGTATTTTTGTTTTAAATACTTTTGCTAAAATCATTCAAAATGAGTTACATATGAAGAAGACCATTTTCATTCAAATATATAGTATACTTTCATTATTAATGTACTGAGCTCCAGAAAAAAACCTTGAGATTTCAGATAATGAAAGTTAAATATCCTGTCTACCACTGAATAACTTTAATGATGAATTATTTAATTTTAATATGAATCCTTTTTACATGTTTCATTTTTACTTCGTTCATCAATCTTTCTTCATGTTCAGTTCCTTAAGAAACTATTTTGTGCTTTGATAGGTACCTGCTAAAGATGATGATGAATTTTGTAACATTTGGCAGTCCTTACAGGGATCTGGAAAGGCTCAACATTTTCAGCCAACTCTGCAAGAGAAGGTTTGCTAGACATTTTACAATTTTTATATTTCTCTGTTAAATATGTAATGATTAATTTTCTTCTAAACGTTTATCATTTAGAAATAACAGCTTTGATCATGAATTTTCATAATTCTTTTCAGTCAGATATAAAAAATTTTGTACCAGTAAGTGAGAAGATAGGTGATTTTTTTAATTATAAATCTGTTTTGAATTTTTTTTGTTCCTACAAAATAATTAGTACTATATTTAAAATTCAGCAAAGGCCTAATGCCACTCATTAGTTTATTGGTTTTCATTTCAGTATATAGTTTTGTGCTGTCAGTTGACTATCTTAAATATGAATGACCAAATTCACATTCCTTGATAGAGATTAAGAAGAGATTCTGCTAAAAAGGTAGACCAAAAAAGAAGAAAAGAAATAATTTCCTACTGTGTTTTTTGCTACTTACCTGTCATCTCAAATTGCTCATCAATTTCTGTTTTCTCAACTTTTTAAACCAGTAGCTTGAACATGAGGGTCTCATTTATTTTGATGTGTTCCAGTGATGCCAGTGTTCTCAAAACTAAAGAGGGTAAAATAGCAAAGGGAATTATGGTAGAATAAAAATTAAAAATGAGAGTGACAAAATACAGAGGTTTCCTCTTCCAATATGCTATTATATTATCCTTTCTAACTGTCATCTATAAAAGATTTTCAGACTCTCTTCACCTCTCTTATTTATTTGATACTGCTAATTCTTCAGGAGTACTTCACATTCATTCATTCATTCAGCACATATTTATTGAGTTCCTACCATGTGCCTGGCATTGATCTATGCAATGAGAATAGAACAATAAACAAAACAAAAATTCTAACCCCTTACAAAGAGAGGATAGTAAGATAAATAAGTACATTACATGGTGCATTAAACAGTAATACATGTTTAAGAAAAATTACAGAGACTGAACTTAGGGAATGTTGGGGAGGAGAGAGAAAAGTTTTGCAGTTTTAAATAGAATTATCTGGTCACATTTGAGCAAAGATTTGAGTGAAATAATGAATAGGGGTATGTAGATATAGAAGGGAGAGTATTGCAGATAAGGTAAAACCTTGTTTTCAGGACAATTCCTTGCATATTCAAGGAAAAATAAGACCATGAATCATTAGAATGATTTGTAGGAAATGGAGGTATTTTATAGCTCCTTACGGGTCTTTGGCTTTCACCAATTAATCCCAAAGAACCAGTAAATCTCAAGGGAGGAACCTTTATTAGGTATCACATTGTAGAGAGGGATCCTGGCTTTATGGAGTTGTAGGACTGGGTAATGGGGAGTTGTATTTTATGCTAGGCTATACTGGGGCATGTGCAGAAGCACTACATGCTTCTTCATATATCACATATCTCATTAGCATCTTAGGTCTCCACTCAGCTGTGTGTATAAAAGGCTAATAGCTGTGTGTATATATAGGTCATTTCTAGATCAGTCTTCTGCCATCTGCCTCTGTGAGGTCAGCAAGTTTCACTTGGTTCTGGGGCCATTACCCAAAGGCAGGAAGCTTCTGTAGGGTAAAAAGTCTATTTCTCACTGGCCATTGACTAGATTCCTGTAAAATTTAGGGGGTTCAATAAAAGGAAGGTTAGACCAGCAAGATCTAGTTCCAGGGGTCCATTTATAATAGTTAGAGAAATGACACATCAACACCATTAAGCTAGGCCATTATAAGGACATTGGTTTTTACTCCATGAAATGGGAAATCAGTGGGGGGTTTTGAGCAGCAGAGTAACATGATCTGATTTATCTTTTAATAAGATCACTCTGTCTGCATCTTGAGAATAGAATGTAGAGTGTAGAACAGAAATTAGTTTGGAGACTGTTGCAATCATCAAAGGGAAAGTTTACTTTCTAATCCCAGGGTAGCGGGAGTCTAAAAGAAGGGATCAAATTCTCAACATGTTTGGGAAAGATTGATCACCAGATCATGATGAATTGGATGTGGGGGCAAAAGAGAAGGAATAAAGGATGTGACTCTTTAGATCTGAGTAACTGAAAAATATAGATTGGCTTTTAACTGAGATTGGGAAGATTGCAGATCTAATAGGTTTGTAGATCAGGAGTTAAATTTTGGACATTGTAAATTTGGGATATATATTAAACATTCAAACAGAGATACAGAATTGGACATTTGAATGGAGATAAAGAATTGAACATTGAGTCTGAAGGTCATGGTTGATGTACAAGATGGTGTGTGTGTGTGTGTGTGTGTGTCTCCAGGGAAGTGGATATAGATAGATTTTTAATAACTTAACCATAGAGTAGTCGGTCTTCATTGAGTCAGAAAGATTAAGTGAAATGGACAAAGACTGAGAAGAAATGGCCAATGAGATAGGAGGAAAAGCAAGAAAGGGTGTTGTTACCTAGATGAAAAGTAAAGAATGAATGTCAAGGAAACAGAACAATCAACTATGTCAAATACATGCGTTGACCCAATTAAGATGAAAACTTAGAATTGACCATGTGTTTAGCACATGGTCATTGGATATCTTGTTGAGCAATTTCAGTGGATTGATAGGAATGAGAGACTGATTAAAGTGTGCTGAATAGAGAAAAGGAGAAGAGAAATTGGAGGCATAAAATATTCAAATTATTTTGAAAGCAATTTTTTCAAAAAGTTTTGCTGCAAAAGAAAACATTGCCCTGAATCCTCTCTTGCCTTTACGTATATGTTCACCTTCTTTAACCTTGCTTCTTCCAACCTTTCACTGGGGACTGTTTTCCCAAATTCTGTTTTCTTTTGCCTTTTGCCTGGTTGTTTAAGTGGTGACGTTGGCTCTTACTCTCTGCTGATTACTATACAATCTGTATCTCTGATTCCAATCCCTCGATCAAAATTAACTTTCTAGAAGAGAAAAATACAGAAAAATATATGGATGCCCTACTATCACCTCAGTCTCAAGATGTCTCAAAATTGACCTTGTCAAAAAACTCTTATTTCTAACACAGCCATTTTCTCGGGTATATACTCTGAAAAGCAAAGATAATTTTTTTTTTCTCTTTCTCTTTTATATTTTTGGTGATGAGACTCCAAATCCTTTTACTCCTTCTCAGTTCCCACAACTAAACCTTAGATTGTCAGCTCAGGCCTAGATTAGCCTCCTATCTGTACTTCCTGTGCCTTTTCTTTTTACTTTCTAATCCTACATAGTATTATCTGATTAACTCCCCTTAAGGTCCTTAGCCCCATGGCATATTTGGCAAAGTATTTAATTAATAAGAGCTTAGGTTTGAACTCTTTTTTTTTTTTTTTTTTTTTTGCCTTGAGACATCATGGTGTGATAAATCTGGTATGAACTCAGAATCAGGTTTTGTGACTCAAACTGAGTTAATCTAATTTTGCTGGACCTTCATGGTTTCATCTGTAGGATTAAGGTATTGGAGTTAGATGACATTTTAGGTCTTTTCCAGTGCCAAAAAGGTAATATTTTAATATTTTAGAGTATCAGGTTCCCTGTTTAGTACTACTGAGATCCAAACCCATCTCAAGCTAGTGTCTGAGACCTTCTATTACAAATTCTTATACAAAATATGTCCAACTACTTGGTAAAATCGCCTGTTCCAAGCAGATTAGTTTCTACTTTTCCTACCTTACAAAGAGATAATTCCCATGTCAAATTTTGTATTCTTGTTGTTCCTTCTATTTAGGATCCCCTTTTCTCTATCACTACTAAATTCCCCTAGATCTCTGTCAAGGTCTAATCATCTTGTTACTACCTGTTGCCTTGAGATAAAATTCGATACTTGATATTATATTTTCTCAGAATCTTCTGCATATATATCCTGTCATTGGGCACTCTCACTGTATCATGTTTTATCTGCTAAATGTGGCAAGAAGTATGGGCCACCACATATAACACTTATATCCAAGAAACATTTATAAGTACCCTGGTATTCATCTGATGAACAAATTATATAGAACTCACAGTGATAATTTTGAAAAAGAAAGAGACAGTATTCAAGCTTCTGGAAAAGGAAAAACTCGAGACAGTAAAAAGATCGGTAGTGGCTACAGTTTAGGTAGAGAGGGAAGATGAATAGAGCACACATTTTTAGGACACAAATATACTCATTATGATATTATAATGGTAACTATATGTCGTTATCTTTTTGTCCCAAACCATAGACTATAACACCAAAAATGAACCCAGCGTAACTATAGACTTTGGGTAATAAGGATGTGTCAGTTTTATCAATCGTAACAAACGTTCCGCTCTGGCGGAGGATGTTGGTACTGGAAGAACTTATGCTTTTGTGCAGGCTGGAGGCATGTGGGAAATCTCTTACTATCTTCTTAATTTTGTTGGGAATCTAAAACTGCTCTTAAAAAATAAAATTCTTTATGAGAAAAATTCAAGCATTTATTGTCAAAAGAAAATGTGACTAGTAGTTTTATCAAATAGAACAACCAAAAAAACTATACTCAAAGCCAGAATGTTTTCTTTGTAAACTCTGGCATGCTTTTTCTCTGAAATAGTATTGTGAACACTCAAATGTCAATCTCTTGTTATTTATCTCTGTAACCAAATCACTTTATTACATTTAGCCTCTATTTACTCATCTATGAAATGGAGTTAAAATATACTACAAATTTTTATGATTATGCAATAGCATTGTCATCATGATATTAAGATAATGGATACAAAGTACATCTTCAAATACCCTGCACATAACAGACACATACACACAGTTTATTGTTCCTTATGGTTTAAGGTTTCCTTAGCATCAAAATCCTCCATAATGCTTTGTTTAGCCCAAAATCACAGCAGCCACTATGCTATGCAGATAGAAATCCCTTATGACTATCCCTTGAACGTTCCTAACACACAGAAATCATGCATATTTAAAACTTTCTAATAGAAATTTTTTAAATAATAAATTCAAGAGAATAGTACATTAAGCCCACAGATATACCTTACCTTGCACATGTCCCATCCTATTTCTTCTATAATAACTATTCATTTCCCTCTCCCATTAGCCCCACAGATATAATTATTGTTGAAGCACATCCTGCGTGCTCTGTAGAGACTATTTCTGTTGTGGAAATAAAAATCATTTACCCTAAAATTTAATGTTTTTCTTAGTTTCTATATTAAATTCAAACAAAATTAGATTTAATTATTTTCTGCTGAAAATAGCATTTTGGTAAAATGCTTATTTTCTGTATATTTTGCAATCTGACTAAAGCTTAGAAAAATATCTGAGTATTGATCATCACATTAATAATGGTTATTTCTAGTTTGATGGAATTTTGAGTGTTTTTTTAAATTCTCTATACTTTCTTGTATATTCCTTAAAGTTTTTTCAGATGAACTATGTAAGTTTTATAAAAATAATAAATGTATTTAAAGTTGAGGAAAATAATTATAATACTGAGAGTTTAAATCATTTATCAGAATTTTAATTCTCAGGGTACAGTTCTACCTCAAGAAATAAGTCAAGTAACTCAACATCATAAATCTGGCTTTCATGACAACAGTGTTAAATGTCAGCAGAAAAAACATGACTCTCACAGAAAATGTAAGTTTTACATTAGAGAAGTATCTTGTGCTAACTGCACATTCTTATTTTTATTAACTAACAGCTTTATTGAGATTTAATTCAGATACTGTAAAATTTCATCCTTTAAAAGTATGCAATCTGGTTTTTTTGGTGTGTGTTTTTTTTAATTAAGTTTTACAACCAGTGCCATTTTCATCATCCCAAAAATAAACATTTGTAAGTATTAACAGTCAATCTTCTAGCCACTAACAACCACTTACTTACTTCCTGCCTCTATGAATTTGCCCTATTCTGGACATTTCTTTTATATGGAATCATGACATGTGTGACCATTTTTGAACTGGCATCTTTCAGGTAGGATGTTTTCAGAGTTCATCATAGTTCTCGTACTTATCAGTAGTACTATATCCCTTTTTATGGCTGGATAATATTCCGTTATTTGAGTACTACATTTTGTTTATCCATTCACTTGTTGATGAACATTTGAGTATTCCCATTTTGGAGCTTTAATGACTAATACTCCAAGAATATCTGTGTACAATTTTTTGTGTGAACATATTTGCAATCCCTTGGGAGTATATGAAATGAATGGAATTACTGAGTCATATGTTAAATTTGTATTTAACTTTTTGTGGAAAGACCATACTTTTCCAAAATGACTCTACCATTTGCATTCCCACCAGCAATATATGAGGGTCCAGTTTCACCGCATCCACCATAACACCATTTTTCTTTTTTATTATAGCCATCCTAGTTGGTGTAAAGTAGAATCTCTCTGTGGTATTCGATTGCAGTTCATTAATGTCTAATAAAGTTGAGCATCTTTTGCTGTGCTTTTGAGCTATTTGTATATCTGCTCTGGAAGAATCTCTAATCAAATATTTGCTTGTTTTATTATTTGTTTAAATTTCATTATTTTTTATTATTATTTATGATTCAGAGGTATAGAATCATATTCTTTAGGTGCACACCAGACCACACTCACCAAGGGACCCACTCTCCTCTACCACAGTCCATTGTGCACCCCCTCCCCAACTCTGTTCTTTTCCCCTTCCTTTCTGGTAGCTTCCATTGAACAGTCAAATTTGTAAGGTTTGTTGTTGATTAGATTTTATCTGACCTTTTGTTTCATTTCTCTGTATTCCACATGTAAGAGATGCCATTGGTATTTTTTTTTCTCTTTCTGCCTTATTTCACTTATCATAATCCCCTCCAGTTCACCCCTGTTGTCACAAATAAAGCATTCATCTTTGTTTTGTACCTGAGTTGTATTCCGTTCCGTATATATGTCATACTTCCATACTTCTTTATATATTCTGTATACTACATGCTTATCAGATATTTGATTTGCAAATATTTATTCTCATTCCATGAAGCATTGATGTTTTTAATTTTGATCAGATCCTTTTTTTCTATTTGTTCCCTATTTTTTATTGGACTGCTGTGCTTTAGGTGTCATATCTAAGATACCATTTACTAATCCATGGTGACAAAGATTTACATCTATATTATATCTTGAAAGTTTTATACTTTAAGCTCTTACATTTATGTGTTTTTCCCGTGTTGATTAATTTTATGTGGTACAAGGTGGGACTCATTTATTTATTTGTTTTCATTTTCCTAAGGTACAATACCTGATCAAATCACTACTTGCTCAAAACCTTTCTGTGATTGGTTGCCCATTGCCTACCAGTTTAATGTCATAATCTTCAATACCTTGCACATTATGTTCCCACCTCATTCACTTAAACTCTATTCCTCCTTACTCTCCTGAAGAACTGGTATACTTGGGGCTCTATGAACACAGAGCTTGCTTTCTGCTTTCATGTCTTTTCTCTATGATTTCCTTTGCCTGGAATACCTAGCCTTTTATTCTACCCTTTGAAGACCTACCATCCTTCAAGATTCAATTGAATGCCACTTTTCTTTCCCCTTGTTTGTGAATATCTCTTCCCCTCTTACCTAGATTATAAATTCCTCAATTTCAAAATCTCCTTGGAATTCAATGAACTTTTAACATAGTACCTTGTACGACAAATATTTGGTAAATGTAACTGATCTTCAGGAAGTTCTTTGATTCACCAAAATTTTTATTGTCTTGTTCTAGTTAAAGAAGAGTGCAAGAGTCCTAAAATTGACAGTCAGCCACAAAAAATGTCAAATAAGCAGGTAAGCTTTCTTAAAGTCAGATTTCTAGTAGTTTTTTATTGTAATTGGCACCTCTGTGTCACCTGTCTGAATTTTGCAGCTCTTTCAACCAAATCCATAAAGTGTATGGCTGGCAGTCATTTGGCTGGAAGGTTGCACAGCTTGAGTCCAGGATTTGTCATTGCAGTTACCTGAAATCTTGACCCTGCCATTTAATAGTTAAGAGACCTTGAGCAGTTTTGACCACCCTTAGCTTCAATTTCCTCATCTTTAAAATGGGTACAAAAATAGATCATTTAGTCTTTTAATACATACAGCTTTTGTATACATACAAGCATATGCACATATGTGTATATATATAAAATTTGAAGAAATATGTTTGTATATGCAATGAAAGTATATGGATCAGGGCCTCCTGGTGGTGCAGGGGGTTAAGCGCCGCACTATTAAGCCTCTGCAGTGTGAATTCGATCCCTAGCCAGCTTGGGAGCAACCCACATAGTGCAGCAGACATCTCCTATCTCACCCGCTGCTCCCCTCAGCAGTTTATTTCAGTCAGTCTGCCTGTTCTATTCCCCACACTGTCTCTGGTGAATCCTCTCACCACCTCCCCCCCTACATCTCTGGCCTGTACCCCACCCCTTGTATGCATGAATAAATAAATCTTTAAAAAAGGAAGTATATGGATCAATATAGTAAAGTTCATGGTTAATTATGTGAAGTTGGGTCCTGGGAAACTGAGGTCATTTATATTTTACATAATCTTAGCTGTTTAATAAGGAGTATATATACATTTTGTAATTGAAGAATGACAAATTTAATGTAGAAAACTTCAGCATGTATTCTTGTTATTTGAATTTTCTATATGCATATATATATTTTAAAAGTTTAAAAATTCAGTCTCTTATAAGCTAGTAATACAATAATTTTATCAAGAACATCAGAATATTTGGCACATAGTAGGTTTTCAGTAAATAGAACCCATTATTATTTAGATACCAGTAAATGGTTGAATTAAATGACTTTTAAGGCCCTCTCCTTCTGAAACTCCTGTGCTATAATTTCCTTGCTTCTAAAGAAAGAATTCATAAACTTTTGTGCTATTTTGGTGAAGCCTCTGGACTCTTCCTCAGAATATTTTTAATACTAAAGTAAAATACATAAGATTTGGGGGCAAACAGTTATATTGAAATAGAAGTACAGTTCTTATGGTTTATTGCCTGCATTCATAATTGAAGGAATGCTGAATCTTACTTAGATGTTAATGAAGATAAATAATTTTTTTCCTCATCCAGGTTTATAGGCCTCCTTTTTTCCTTATGATTTAAAAGGGGAAATAAAGTTTTCAGTTATTTATTTAGAACACTATTAAGTAGTTTTATTTGCTCTTTTAAGTTTTATTTGCTCTTTTATAGACATTTGGAGGGTCTGCCAAATGCAATATTAAGCTGCTGAAGAGAAACGAAAATGCTGAAGCCTCAGAAAACCAAAAGGTTGTGACTGGTTATCCAGGCACTAATGATAAGGTAAAAGACCATTCATTCCAGTTTCTCTTCCCAAATTTAGCACCTGAGAAGATGATTGGGTAAAAATTAAATGATTATTTTTGTACATAAAACTCCCAGCTTCCTCTGTATTCTTTACTTTATCTTCATGCACAAAATACTTATTCTTTTAGCCTAAACATGGAATTGAGAACTTTTTAGCATCTTTGAATATTTCCAAAGAAAATGAAGTACCATCATCTCATCATGAAGAGTCTCCAAGTGAAGAACATTTGTCACCACAGTCATTTGCTATGGTTTGTATTTTATATGAACTTTTGTAGTATAATTGTTGGCCATGAAGATATACCCCATGCAACCATTAAAACACTTTCCCCTATTGTGGACTGATGTGTTGCATCATTATTGTTATGCTGTGAGGAAAATCAGACTTCCTAGGCAGTTTAGCCATCTTTTCAGACTTTTGCTCCCTTGCTTTTCAAACCTTTCTGCTAGGTAGTTTGAGCAAAAGTCAAGTTATTGGTTTTCCTTACTCTCTATTTGAATGTAGTTGTCATCCTAATTTTTAACAGTTGAGCTCATTAAAAGAGGTATCAATAAGCTCTCCAATTAATGTTAACTTTTCTGCTCCTGCCCCCACCATCTCTGTACCAATCTTTTTCAAAACAGAAGGGAACGCGAATGCTTAAAGAAATTCTAAAAATTGACAGCCCTGATACTGTGGACCATAAGAATGAAATGAAACAGTTTGGTAATGAAGTCCCTAGTTGCTCTACTAGAAGAGATGAATATTGCCCTTCCTCCCAGCCTAAACAAAACAAGAAATTAAGTAAGTAAACTAAGCACTTTTTGAACTATGCACTTTTTAAAGATTAAACTTTTATTTTTAAAAGTGTAATTAACAAATAAATGTAAAATTTGTATACATGTCATTTCATATCATAACTATGTACACAATAGATTTATAGTCCTTTAATGTATTCTAATGAATACCTAAATTATACTATTATAGATACTCATTGTATAGATTCCAAACTTAGAAACATTTTCATATTCTGGGTTTTTTCCCTCAGTAATTCAAAAATGATTATATAACTTAGGCACATTACTTAACTTTCCTAAAATTCTGTTTTTCTTGTTTACTAAATAACATAACTTTTCAAATGACTGTTGTAATAAATATGGCTTGTATAAAGCAGTTTGTACTATATCTGGTACACTGTATGTACCAATAAGTGATAATAAAATTACTGTTAAACTGAACAATCATATAAATAGAAATTATAAAACCAATTAAAAATAATTAATGGAAGTGGACACTGGGTACTTACCTTAATTCTGTGAAACCTATAGCATAATTTAACATCTGGCACATAGCTTAATTTCAAATATAAATTTCAAATATAAATCATTATCCCTACCCTCTCTGTCTTTTTGCTGTAGTGTTTTGTCCTTATAATTATCTGCAAAAGCCTATTAGGAAGAATGATTAATACAAAAGTAAGTGGAAATAAAAGTTTCTCAAGAGATAAAAAATGTTTTGAAATAGGCAGACGCAAATTTATTAAGGATCAAAATCTGAAACAAAATCAGAGCCTACTTCTATACACCAGTGAATATTGGGATAATTATCTTAAAATTGCAATAGTTATTAGGAAATTGTCATAGTGACAGATATGCTCTTGAAATAAAACAAAATAATATTTTAAAATAAAATTGGGTAAGATGTCCCACTGTCAAAAACAAGTAACTTTATTTCAGTGTAGTGAAAAAGCTCTTATACTTTAGAGTCAGAACTCAAAATGCAGTACATATTATAGAGCTAATAATCTCTATGGCTTTGGGCAAGCTGCATAAATCTTCTTTGAATCTGTATCAGTAAGGTTTAAGTTCATTCTTCACCTCAAGAATGTTCCTATTCTATTAGTGAGTTTGTTAATCATAAAGCATATACACTTTCAGAATGTTTTAATCTACAATATAAAAACACTTAAAAGACTTAATTTCAGAAAAACCTTTTAAAGCATCATTTCGGAACAATGAAAACACTCATCCAAGTGTCTTAGAATGTAAGATGGAATTTGGAGAAGATTGAAGCCAAAGCTTCAAAACTTAAGAATTAATTGTAAATCAGCTCAAAAAGCCTCTCAAAATTTGAGTGGTTCAGATTTGGCCTATAACATAACTATAGAGTCATTAATCTCTCGAGTTGTTAATTTTTGACAGTAAGCTACTTATAATACTTAAAATATATATCTTAATCATGTATCATTAACCAATTATAATCATCATAAATTTTGAATTCTTAGTAACTATAAGCAATACTAAGTTATTTACTTCGTGGAATTTTTTTTTTTTTTTTTTTGCCTTTTAATAATTTCTTCCTTGCTATCCTGTGCAATCCTGCAATAATTGCATAGTTTGAGATATCATTTAAAAAGGTATGTCCTTTTTCTCTTTTTGGTAGCATCTTATATGAACAAGCCTCACAGTGCTAATGAGTACCATAATGTTCAGTCTATGGACAACACGTGTTGGCCTGCTCCCAGCCAGATCCCTCCTATGTCCACACCAGTAACTGAACTTTCTCGAATTTGTTCCCTTGTTGGAATGCTGCAACCAGATTTCTCCTTTCTTAGAACAGCACAGGTATGGTATACTATTGTTCCATTTACATAAGTTATTTAACACTGAGCTTAAATGAATTAACTGAAAATGTTTGTCTGGAAATAATATAATGGAGCTGATTTTTTTTTTTAAATGAGCAGTATAGGCTTATACTTCTCTCTCTGGATGTTCCATAACCAGAGCCCTCAAAAGAAGAACCTAGGCAACAGATAGTCTGGTGAAGTTTTGTAGACAGCTAGAGCTAGGAAATTTGATCTACAATAGCAATTGACAGACATTTTGGTCTCAGAAACTCCTTCCTCCTTTTTTTTGAAGACCCCAAACATTTTTTATTTTTCATTTTGTTTTTAGATGAAGTACTTTTTTTCTTACATTGATGTTAATTTTTGGACAGTATTTGATTTCCTCCCTCAGGTATAGTCCCATAATTCTCCCACCACAAAAGCACCCGTGATCCATCACCACTCTCCCTTGTGCTCTTCCCTCTCCTCCTTGGCCCCTTCTGCTTCCCTCCTAGTTGGTCAGCTTGTGACTTTTATCTTTTTCTGCCCCTTTGCCAAACAATCTTGTTATTAATATATAAAGAGTTCTTAATAAAGTACCATTACTTTACATTCTTGTTGATTTTTTTCACAGTATAAGATTTCCATCCTCAGGAGTGGTCACCATAGTTCTCCTATCACCAAAGCACACAGAGTCCTCCACCTTAGTCCACTGTGTCCTCGCCCCTTCTCCACTTTCTCCCCTCCCTTCTCTTCCTGGATGCTTCAGATCTATGGGCTTTGATTCTTTCCCAAACAACTTTTGTTTACTTGTTTTAGATCCATATTTACCATATCAGAAATTAAGGCTGAAAAAATTTTAATATTTATTGTTTAGTAAAAATAGCTTTTCAGAGGGCCTCCCTGGTGGCACAGGGGTTAAAGACACAGCGCTATTAAGCTATTGCCAGCCACTGCAACATGAATTCGATTCCCAGACAGGGAGCCAACCTACATGGCGCAGCAGACCTCTCCTCTCTCACCCGCTGCTCCCCTCAGCAGTGTATTTCAGTAGATCTGCTTGTTCAGCTCCCCACTCTGTCTCTGGTGAATCCTCTCACTCCCTGCACCTCTGACCTATACCCCATTTCTTGTATGCATAAATAAATAAATCTTTAAAAAAAAATAGTAACTTTTCAAAAAAAGTCAGTGAGAAGAATGATACTGCTCAACACTTTAAAAATCTGTTTCATCTCCAGTTTAATAGAAAAAGCTAAATTGTCCTATTTCCTTATGGTAATTTTTGGGGGTGAAATATACAAAGAAAACCTAACTTCACACAAATAGCTAGCTTAAAAAAGAGTATTAATAGCCTTTTCAGATATTTGTGGATTTTCTTTGATACTACGTTAAAACATTGTGTTTCTTAAAGCTGATTGCAGTGTAGAATCTGAAACTGTATCATAGACTTACTGTCTTTTGTATACTTGTGAGAAAATGAGAATGAAAAGCCCAAATAGTATCTTAACATTATGAAAAAAAATTGTGACTCAGGGATCCCTGGGAAGGGCCTCGGGGACTTCTGTTGTCCTGAGACTACCTTGAGAACCTACTAGCTTCAACAAAAAAGGTCGTTTTATCCTCTTTTTCCAGATTTTCTATCTATTCTTGCCCAAAATGGAAAGCAGAAATAAACTAATAATATTACATAAAAACTGGCCACCTTTTGGAAAAATAGGATTTTTTAAAAATCTTTTTATAAAAGAAAAAAGAAGTGTATTGTAAAGTTATAATTTAAATGTGAATATAAAATCTGCCAGAGCTTCTAAATCTTTTGGGGTTTAATAACTTGTTTTTTTCTGCAAAGAATGAGATACTAAATATTTTAGGTTTTATGGGCCAGTTGGTCTCTGTCAAAGCTATTCAACTCCACTGTAATAGTATGAAGACAGCTATATAATACATAATAAAATGAGCTTGGCTATACCTCAATAAAACTTTACTTAAAAAAGCAGGTGGCAGACCTAGTTTCCTAACCCTTAATATAAAGAAAAAAGTTTGGCTAGCTTTAATCTGCATCATTAGAATGCTTGACCCCCTAAGCTAACTTTCAGACCATTTTATAAACATTGAAAGAAAAGTCAATGATTCTAAAAGTTTTTGCAATGGTAATTCAAACTCTAATTGATAGTCCTTTAAATTCTTGATTTATTATTGAAATTATTGCTATGATTATTGAAATTATTCTATTTAGATTATGATTTGGGGGGATTAGGTGCATTTTCTAAATATCTAGCTTCATAGATAGTCTCTTTTCCAGACAATGACAGTTTGCCAGGTGAAATTATCTAATGGTTTACTGGTACATGGACCACAATGCCATTCTGAAAATGAAGCCAAGGAAAAAGCTGCACTTTTTGCTTTACAACAATTGGTAAGAAATGTCCATCACTTCCTTATTAAAATCTTAATTAATCTCTATAGATGTTTTTGTTGCATTATGTTATAACTTTTCAATGCCTCCATAGGGATCCTTTGGAGTGAATTTCCCTTTGCCTCCACCAATATTTCCAAATTATCCTCCTACTGTACCTCCTGGAACAATTCCTCCAGTTTTTCCCCAACCTACGGGTAAGATACTGTGTTTTTTATTTATTTACTTATATATATTATGTATATATTTGTATTGAGTTATTTTTAGAAAGTTCTTTAAAGAGGCATCATTTTGAGTAGAAAAAAAATTATCTAGATATGTAAGAATATAAGAAGGAATTATGAGTAGTAAACCTGAAACCAGAACTTGCACATTCTTCTAGAAAATGTCATTCCCTCCGAAAGTCTCTAGTGTAGCTAGAGTAGGATGGTTCTTTGTTCTGGGTAGTCCTTTATTCCCCCAGCATCTACCAGCAAATGAATTTGGGTTTGATAGACCTGAAATACACATTTTGGGGGAGGATGGGGGTTGAGAGACCGGTGAAGAGAACAAAAAGCAGATATGGTTCTGAAGCTATAGTTGTGAAAGAAATTGCCCTTGATGATGAAGTGTTTATAGAGCTTACTATGTGTTTCTTATATTCCCTTAAAATTGACCTCCTCTTTCAAACATAGTACCTGGGTTATCAAGCAAGTAACTGCTTCCTGTAACCAGTTGATGACTTCTTAATGTGCTGGGGGAATGGAAAGGCCACTGTGGAACAAGACTTTCTTTTGGTCAGGCTCTTTTATTGACTAATTTTGATTAAAAATCATGTAATTTCCTTGGGACTCCATTTTCTCATTTATAATAGACTATATCCAGGGTCTCTTTGAGACTAACATTTTGTAATTTATTATTCTAAGTCTTAAGTTCATTAAACATTTTATCACTTCCCTTCTATTCCTTTTTCCTAATAGCTACTCTCTTCTTAATATCCTCATTATTATCCTTTTTAAAACAGTAATGTATTTCAAGTTTAGAAGGTTCTGAGTGTGCTATATGCCAGGTATTACTCCACAAGCTCTACATATCTAGTCCTCACAATAAATATTAAAAAGGTTAAGATTGCTGATTAAACAAGTTATTTCTTCTCTTTGCCTAAACTATAATAAATTTAAATAGTAAATGATTTTAAAAGGACAATGATGAGAGAAGAAATATCAGTAAATTAGAGAGTTGAAAGAGTTTGTGGTAAGAAAAGCAATTGAAAAATTAGTAACCAATTTAGCAGAACAGATATAAAGTACAAACTGAGGTATCTGTAGAAAAGGATACAAATGAGCTGATGAACACAATGTACCTCACAATTACCAAGAGATTCAGAACAAAGAGAAATGTAAGGAACCTGGAAACAAAGATAATGTGGGAAATAAGGGGACTTCAAACACAGTTACAGTTAATATTCTTTGTGAAATAAAATAGTATTGCAACCAAAAAAATAGAATAAGAACATATGAAAAAAAATCACTGGAGAACAAAAATTAAGTCAAACTTTTAAAATTGTATAGGGAAAGACCTAGCATAGCCCAAAAAAAAAATCTGAGGAAAAACTGAATAAAAAAATGTGGAAAATAAACAAGAGGGGAAATTTAGAGAAACAGTGCATAGACACAACATTCATCCAGTTGGTGTTCTAGAAAAAGAGACCAGAGATAATGGAAATGAGGAAAGTGTTAAAGAAATCAGAGGTGAACATTTCCTCGTCCTAAAGGACATGTACTTCTAGTCTGAAATCACCACCAAATATGTAACACAAAGAATGAAGAGAGACACAGGTGGCCTTGAAATTTAGAATGTAAGGGATAAAGATGATCCTAGAGGTTAAAGAAGAAAGGGAAATACATATAAAAGATCAAGAATCAACATGGTATGCAGAGGCTAGATGCTCGAAAGCTATTGAGCACTGATACCTCTAAATCCTGAGGCAGGATTAGTTTCATCTTAGATTTCTCTGAATAGCCATACTGAATCTAGTGCTAAGGTAGAATAAAGACATTTTCAGACATGCACATTTACTTCTTATGCCCCCTTTCTTAAGAAGCTACTGTAATATTTGCTCCAGCAAAACAAAATAGTAGTTTTAAAAAGGAAAAAAAAAAAAAAAAAAGCCATGAGACTAAACCAAAGAAGACTAGTATGCTTAAGTAATGAATGGAAGTCCCAGAATGTTACAGGTATTGAAAGCAACGAGTCCCTATTGGAAGCACAAAGGGAGGTCTTAGAAAGTAAGATAATTACCTGTTATGTGGGTAGCATTTGGAAAAACATTAAGGATAGGTATGTAGAAGACTAGGGAACTTTGAAAAGAGAAGAAAAAGTTTTACAAGAAAATAAGAGTACCCTACTTGGCTTTGTAGTCATGGTATGCATCCGATCTCAAACCATAAACACTGCTTATATATTTAAACAAATATTGTAGTGTACTTACATTGGGAGGACAGGGCAAGTAGTGAGGGTAATTGAAAAAAATGTAATTTTCTAGGTCATAAGTTTCTAAGTAGCAGAACTGTCATTCAAAATTAAATCTGGGTTGGGATCAACATGGCAGCAGGGAAATGCTGTAAGTCCTCCCATTAAAAAAAAAAAAGTTAATAGGGAGGAAAAGTGGCAGGTCCCTGGGAGAACTGGGACACGGAGGATAAACGGGCAACTCTGGCAAACTGCCTGAAGAGGAAAATTGCCATAAAAGAGGACAAGAAGAGAGGAAAGCTCAGAACCCTGCTACCCTCCCCCACCCACAAAGTCGGCACTCTCCAACTAACAGAAAGGAGGAAAAAAAAAAAAAAAAAACCAACAAGAACAAACTACAGGTCAAGTGGGACACTGAGTAGAAAGGAAATATTTCAGGCACACACCCCGTAAACGGGAACTGTGGAGAGCCTTGCAGGAATCACAGTGGAGGTGAGTGAACGGCTCCGGGTGCCATTAGAGGAAAACAAGGACTCCACAGAGATCTACAAATAGCCCAAGGCCAACCGAGAACCACTGGGAAAAAGCACAGGTCAGCAAGTACTGATCTCTGGCGCCACCTCATGACCAGAACAAAATCACCAACTAGCTCATTCCCTGTTGGAACTGAGTCAATACAGAGGGAGGGAATTGTAAGGGACAGTGCCCAGCAACACAACATCAACACTCTGGTGGGGTTTTGGCCTACCAGTGCTGGTCTAAGGCTGGTAAACAGTTTCCCACATCTCTAAAGGAGCACTCCAAAGAGATGACCACCAACACCAGTGGCACAACGTCCCAACGCATAGAACTAATTGGAACGCAAACAACAGGAAGAAGAAAAAATATAAATAACCAAGCAAGCCTGCAGGAGAAAAACACACCACAAAAAGAAATACAGTCATCAGAGCTCAACAATGACATGGAAGAACTTCTCGGCCTATCAGATAGAGAATTAATGATCATCATGATTAAAAAGCAGTAAGAAGGGCCTCCCCTGGTGGCGCAGGCTGTTGAGCACAGCACTGTGAAGCTGTCCGCAGCCTCTGCAGCACGGGTTCAATCCCGGCCAGCTGGCAAGAATCCCATATGGCATAGCAGACCTCTCCTGTTGGGCCCACTGCTCCCCTCAGCAGTGTGTTTTGTCAGTCTGCCTGTTCTGTTCTACACACTGTCTCTGGTGAATCCTCTCACCCTCTTGCACATCTGGCCTGTACCCTGGTTCTTGTATGCAAATAAATAAATCTTTTTTTAAAAAGGCAGAAAGAAAACAAAAAGGAAAAAATGATTTGAGACAAATAATCACTGAACTGAAGAATGAAATTGAGACCTTAAGAAAGGAAAGAAAAGAAACGCAGGAGATTAAAAGATTACTAGAGGAGATAAGAACTTTGGTAAAAGCAATGAAAACAGAATCGATGAAATGGAAGAACGGATCAGTACTATTGAAGATACAGAAATAAAAAGAGCCAAAAGAGAAAAGGAGAGAGAAGTGCAAATGAAGAAGTATGAGAATACTCTTTGAAAATTATCAGACTCCACGAAGAGAGGAAATGTAAGAGTTATAGGCATTCCAGAAGGTGAGGAGAGAGACAAAGGAACTGAGAAATTATTCAAGGAGATAATTGAAGAAAACTTCCCAAGCATGAAAAAGGAGATGAATATAGACATACAAAAAGCGAGAAGAACTCCCAATTACCACAATGAAAAGAAAACTACAGCAAGACACATAACAGTAAAGACAAGGAAAAAATAATGAAACTGGCAAGGGGGAAGAAACAGATAACTTACAAGGGAAAACCAATCAGGTTAACTTCAGACTTCTTTGAAGAAACATTACAGGCAAGAAGAGAATGGAGTAACATATTCAGCAAACTTCAACACAGCAAATGCCAACCAAGAAAACTTTACCCTGCAAAGCTCTCCTTCCTCTACGAAGAAAAAATATCGACCTTCTCAGATAAACAGAAACTCCAGAAATTCATTACAACTAAACCCCCACTCCAAAAAATTCTACAAGAAGTCCTAAAGCCAAAACCAACAGAGGAATGAACAAGAAGAACAGAATAAAGCAAGGAATAAAATCACAAAAAGAAAAAAAAATGGCAAATACAGATACCAAACAAAAGACAACAAATAGACATCAACAAAAAGACACAGAGTAGCAGGCTGGATTAAAAAAGCAAAATCCAACCTTCTGCTGTCTCCAGGAAACACATTTAATCACAAAAGATAAACATCGACTGAAAGTAAAAGGTTGGAAAACAATCCTAAAAGCAAATGGACCAAAAAAGAAGGCAGGAACAGCCATACTTATATCAGATGAAATAGACTTCAAATTCAAAAAGGTAAAAAGAGACATAGATGGACACTACATTATGATCAAGGGGACAATAGATCAGGAAGATATAACACTCATCAACATATACTCACCAAAGGAAGGGGCACCAAAATATATTAGACAATTATTATCAGCTCTGAAAACAGACATTAAAGAAAATACACATATAGTGGGAGACTTCAACACCCCACTCTCACCAATGGACAGATCAATGAGACCAAAAATAAACAAAGACACTAAAGCCCTAAACAAAGACATAGAACTCATGGGCTTAACTGACATCTATCAGACACTACACCCAAAAAATCCGGGTACACATTTTTCTCAACTGCGCATGGATCATTCTCCAGAACCGATCACATACTGGACCACAAGACAAACATCAACAGATACGTGAAGTTCAAAATCATTCCAACTATCTTCTCCAATCATAAAGGCATCAAGCTAGAAATAAATCATGAAAAGAAAACAAGGAACCCTCCCACTTCATGGAGATTGAAATCCATACTACTGGAAGACCACTCGACTAATGAGGAAATCAAAGAAGAAATTAAGAAATACTTTGAGTTGAAAGACGAGGAGGATACCACTTTCCAGAATGTATGGGATGCAGCAAAAGCAGTAATAAGAGGAAAATACATAGCAATATAGGCTCACATCAACAAACAAGAAAGAACTCAAAGAAACAACCTAATCTCACATCTCAAAGAGCTAGAAAAAAAACAACAAAAAAACCCTAAAGCCAGTAGAAGAAAGGAAATAATAAAAAATCAAAGCAGAAACAAATGAAATGGAAATTTAAAAAAAATCCAAAAGATCAATGAAACCAAAAGTTGGTTCTTTGAAAAAATAAACAAAATAGACAAACCTCTAGCCAGGTTCACAATGAAGAAATGGGAGAAAACACATATAAACAGGATTATAAATGAAAGAGGAGAAATCACAACAGACTCAGTAGAAATCAAAAGAGTAATCAGAGATTACTATGAACACTTACATGCAAACAAGTTCAACAACCTAGAAGAGATGGACAAATTCCTAGAATGATATAATCATCTAAAGCTGGACAAAGAAGAAATGAACAACTAAACAGACCAATTACAAGCAGTGAAATTGAGGCAATAATCAAAGCTCCCCAAAAACAAAAGCCCAGGCCCAGATGGCTTCACAAATGAATTCTACCAAACGTCCAGCAGTGAATTAGTGCCTGTCCTACACAAACTTTCAAAATATTAAAAAAGAAGGAATACTACCAAATATGTTCTACAAAGCCAACATTACAGTAATACCAAAATCAAACAAAGACAGCACAAAAAAAAGAAAATTCCAGGCCAATCTCCCTAATGAACACTGATGCAAAAATTCTCAACAAAATCCTTGCCACTGTTGGCAAGGATTGCATGGCAATCCAATGATCCTTGCCACTGTTGGCAATCCAATGAGGCATCAAAGGGATAGTATACCATGATCAAGTGGGATTCATCCCAGGGGCACAAGGATGGTTCAACATATGAAAATCAATCAGGGTAATCCAACACATCAACAAAAAGAAAAATAAAAACCATATGATCATATCAATAGATGCTGAGAAAGCATTCGACAAAGTCCAACATCCATTTTTGATGAAGGCCCTTGAAATTCTTGGGATAGAAGGAACATACCTTAACATGATGAAAGCCATATACAACAAACCCACCGCCAACATTCTTCTCAATGGCGAAAAGCTGAAGGCCTTTCCTTTAAGATCAGGAACAAGACAAGGATGTCCACTCTCACCACTGCTCTTTAATATAATGCTGGAGGTCCTGGTCAGGGCAGTAAGACAAGAGAAAGACATATAAGGAATCCAAATAGGGAAAGAAGAAGTAAAACTGTCACTATTTGCAGATGATATGATAATATACATAGAGAACCTTAAAAACTCCACAGAAAAACTACTCAAAATAATCAACCAGTTCAGTAAAGTAGCAGGATACAAAATCAACACGCAAAAATCAGTAGCCTTCCTATACACAATCAGTCTGAAGAAGAAGAAATCAAGAAAACCATCCCTTTTATAATTGAAACAAAAAAAAAATAGAATACTTGGGAATAAACCTAACAAAAGACATGAAAGACCTATACAAAGAAAATTATAAAACATTGTTGAAAGAAATAGAAGACACAAAGAATGGAAAGACATCCCCTGCTCATGGATTGGAAGAATTAACATTATTAAAATGGCCATCCTCCCAAAAGCAATATACAGATTCAATGCTATTCCAATAAAAATCTCAACGACATTCTTCAAAGAAATTGAACAAATACTGATGAAATTCTTATGGAACCACAAAAAAAAAAACACGAATAGCCAAAGCCCTGCTGATGAAAACAAAGGAGAAAGGAGGTATCACACTTTCAAACTTCAAGCTATACTGCAAAGCCATAATAATTAAAAGAGTTTGGTATTGGAACAAAAACAGACACACAGACCAAGGGAACTGAATAGAGAGCCCAGAAATAAAGCCACACTTACATGAACAACTAATCTTTGACAAAGGAGCAAAGAATATGCAATGGGACATGGACAGTTTGTTCAATAAATGGTGCTAGGAAAACTGGACCTCCACATGCAAAAAAATGAATCTAGACCACTACCTCTCACCGTGCACAAAAATCAACTCAAAATGGATAAAAGAACTGGACGTAAGACCTGAAACCATAAAATGTATAGAAGAAAATATAGGTAAAACACTACAAGACATACATCTCAGAAACATTTTTTTTTTTTAAAGATTTTTTTTTTTATTTATACAAGAACCAGGGTACAGGCCAGATGTGTGGGAGGGTGAGAGGACTCACCAGAGATAGAACAGGGAATAGAACTGGCATAATACACTGACAAAATACACTGCCGAGGGGAGCAGTGGGCTCAGCAGGAGAGGTCTGCAGCACCATGTGGGACCCTCTCCCGCTGGCTGGGATCGAACCCGCGCTGCCAAAGCTGCAGACAGCTTCACAGCATGGTGCTCAACCGCCTGCACCACCAGGGGAGGCCCATCTCAGAAACATCTTTAAAGACTCATCCCCCAAAGCAGTGATAGTGAAGGCAAAGATAAACACCTGGGATTAAATCAAACTGAAAAGCTTCTGTACAGCCAAAGAGACATTAACCAAAACAGAGAGACACCACACTGATTGGGAAAAAAATCTTTGCACTCCATTCAACTAATAAGGGACTGATCACAAAGATATACAAAGAACTTACAGGGCTCAACAAAAACAAAATAAACAATCCTACCACCTTACACCAGTAAGAATGGCACATATCAAAAAAACAAGCAACAACAAATGTTGGCGAGGATGTGGTGAAAAAGGGCCTCCCCGGTGGCGCAGCGGTTGAGCACTGGGTTGCGAAGATGCACGCAGTATCTGCAGTGCCGGTTTGATCCCCAGCTGCTCCCCGGACACCAGAGGAGGGTCCCACATGGCGCGCAGACCTCTCCTGCCGCCCGCTGCTCCCCACAGCGGTGTACTTCGGTCCTTCTGCCTGCTCTGCTCCCAGCTCTGGCTCTGGTGAATTTTCTCACCCTCCCGCGCTTCTGACTGTACCCAGTGCTTGTATAAATAAATGAATAAAAATTAAATCTTTAAAAAAAAAAAAAAAGGAACTCTCCTACATTGCTGGTGGGTGTGCAAAATGGTCCAACCACTGTGGAAAGCTGTCTGGAGATTCCTCAATCTACTAAAAATGGAGCTACAATATGATTCGGCAATTCCACTCCTAGGGATCTACCCGAAGGACACAAAAACAATGATTCAAAAGAGCATCTGTACACCTATGTTTATTGCAGTACTATTTACAATAAGTAAAACCTGGAAACAACCCAAACCCAAAAGTAGATGACTGGATCAAGGAGATGTGGTACATATACACAATGGAATATTATTCAGCAATCAAAAAAGATAAACTCATGCCATTCGCAGCAACTTGGGTGGAGCTGGAAGGAATTATGCTCAGTGAAATAAGCCAGAGGGAAAAAGAAAAATATTGGATGGTTTCACTTACTTATAACAGGAATATAGGGGAACCAAATAAGACATCAGTGTAAAAAAAAAAAAAACAGTACAAAACACAACAAAGCAAAAACAGAATTATAAATCAGAGACATACTGCAGGGGAGGAGGGGGAGAGAGATTAGAGGGAGGGAGGGAGGAGCACAGGGATGATGGTGCACAGGTGCCTTGTAATGATGGTGCACAGGTGCCTTGGGGAAGGAAATTATATGGGGACTCAATCTGAGGGGGTGGGGTTAAACAAATATTGTTTAATAAAATAAAATAAAAAAATAAGTCTGATTCCAAAGCCCAGGACTTTGTTATTATACTGACACTCCTTTTGAAAATGAACCCAATTTTTATATATAAAATTAATTTGAAGTAATTAGAATGTGTAGGTTATATTTTCATCCTGGAATTTGTGCTTGTGTGATTCATAGCACTAAAATATGATTATTCTTTCCTCATCCAAAAATTTAAGTTGCTACATTTTAATGGCTTTATACTAATTTATAGGTATGACTGGCCTTTTCTCTTTCCGAAAAGGTTTGAACACAGAACATATCTTCTTCAGTGGTAATATGGTGGTATCTCAACTTTCATTGTTTAATGCAGTAGTTTCTAAATACTGTACTGGTATTGACTGTCTCCATAAGAATCACCTGTGGAGCTTGTTAGCAATACATATTCCTGGGCACCTTCAACTCTGGTTTACTAAGACTAAGGCCCCGCCCAGGTATCTATATTTCTTAAGCTCCCTAGTTGATACACAAATCAGATTTGAAAACCACTGGTTCAATATACTTTAGTAAGAAACAAAATGTCAAAATTTTAAAAATCTTTGAATTGTAAGTATTAGAATAGAGAAAAGAAAGTGTCTACATGTCATATGAAAGTGATCAGATTTCAATACTTGAGCTTGTTTGGTTTTCTTGTAGGCTGGGATCACTATGGAAGCAACTTAGCATTGGGGGCAGGTGAGATCTTTAAGATTTCTCTCTTTATGCCCAGGTTTTTCTCCTCCAAGGACAGTTTCGTATCTCCCCTTCTTTTTTCAATATTACTACAAATATTCCTAAAGTTCTTATCAGTACGTAGTACTATTGGCCTTTGTAGAACAGACAGCATAATGATAAGTTGACTTCTGTATATAGTTCATGGGGGGTGGAGGGGCTTATAAAGTTGAGTGGTGTACATAAGGTTAATCATAAGTCAAGCGTATACCCTCTGTCAAAGCAGAAAGAAAAAAGTCAAAAATGGTAGCAGAAGGTGGTCCTAAATTTCAGGGCTTTGATGATACCATTTTACTGAAAAAAAAAATCCATGTTTTTAACAGCTAATATAATGCCTTCATCACCTCATCTCTTTGGTTCAATGCCGTGGGGACCACCAGTGCCAGTTCCTGCAAAGCCTTTCCATCATACTTCATATTCTGGGAGCCTGCCCATGTCTGGGACAGTGCCAGGTGGTGTGCACAATCAGTTTATACCACTACAGGTGAGACCTGGAAAAAGAATTATTATATTCCTAGAAGAATTTTTTTTTAAAGATTTATTTATTTGTTTGTTTATTTATTTATGCAAGCACTGGGTACAGTCAGAAGCACGGGAGGGTGAGAGAATTCACCAGAGCCAGAGCGGGGAGCAGAGCAGGCAGAAGGACCAAAGTACACTGCTGAGGGGAGCAGCGGGCGGCAGGAGAGGTCTGCACACCATGTGGGACCCTCCTCTGGTGGCCGGGGAGCAGCCGGGGATCGAGCCGGCGCCGCAGAGGCTGCGGGCAGCTTCGCAACCTGGTGCTCAAACGCTGCGCCACCGGGGAGGCCCCCTAGAAGAATTTTAATCATCAAAGACAATTTGTAAAAATTTGTTTATTCACTAATTGCTTATTTAGTGCCAACTAGAAGCCCAATACTGGCCGACCCGAAGTATTGAAGATATTTTATAACCTGTGGTGACCAGTCTGACCTGAATCCTCCTATCTGAATTTGTATTCTAGTAATTATAATGGCTGGTGGCCTCCTTGGTGACCTAGGGGTTAAGTCTCAGCGCTATCACCGCTACAGCGTGAGTTCGATTCCCTGGCCAGGGAGCTAATCCACATATCGCGCAGCAGACTTCTCCTTTCTCTCCCTGTTTCCCTCAGCAGTGTTTTTTCAGTAGATCTGCCTGTTCTGCTCCCAACTCTGTCTCTGGTGAATTCTCTCAAACCCCTCCCAACCCTTCCTCACCTCTGGCCTACGCCCCAGCTCATCTATGTAAAAATAAATAAATAAATAAATGGCTCAGGTAATGACCTTTTGTAACACAGTGATTTAAACTCAGGCATATATACATATATATATATATATTTGAGCTCTGAGAGGTTTTAAATATCTTACTCATAACTAAATTCCTTTTATTTCTAAAGTCTGGTTTGGAAATTAGAAACAGAATTCACGAGTCAGCAGTGGTTGACAAATTTTTAACAGCATAATTCGTAGTATTTTCTGACACTAGCTTCTTTTACCTACATTGTTGTGATGATTTTTTATTCCTTAAAGGTTACTAAAAAAAGGGTTGCAAACAAAAAGAACTTGGAGAATAAGGAGGCCCAGAGTTCTCAAGCTGTGCCACTTAAGACGAATGAGCCAGGATCATCTTCTGATGTCACCAAAGCAGTTCCACAGGAGAGTTCATCCACTTCCTTAAAGTCTCCACAAATTACTCAGCCTGCACCTTCTTTTCAAGTTGAAGCTGCCTCTCAAGGCCATAGTGTGTCTCACCATAAGTCAACACCAAGCTCTTCTTCAAGAAGAAAATCAAGAAAACTGGCTGTCAATTTTGGAGTTTCTAAACCTTCTGAATAAATTTGGTACTTGGAATTAAATTAATTTCTTTACTTTTCCACCCACCTTTTTATAAATCCATATTTGTGTCTCATAAAATATTAGAATGTGCTATTTTAGAATGTGTTTCAATTGAAAATTTTTTTAGTTTTTTAGTTGTCAGACATTTTTCATGCTATCAAATTGTGCATCTTGAATATGTACAATTTGGTTTACATCAATTATACCTCAATAAAACTGTAAAAAAAGACTAAATTAAACCATATCTGTATGTCAGGATAGTAATATTAAATAATATTAGTGGACTATAAAATTGTAAAATATACCAATCTAACCATTGGCCTATCTTTAGATGCACCCTGAACTATGAATTAGGCATTATATTGCAATAAACATTTTAATACTATCATTGAGGGATAATGGAGCATGAAAATTGAGACTCAATTATAATTTAATGAATGTGGATTTTATTTCTTTTTAATGATGTAACAAAATTGTCAAGAAAATAGCTTTTATTTATAAGTATTTTAATTTATATCCTGTTATCTTTGAGGTTCCTTTTCCTTTAGATCTGCTGTGAAATGATCACACTTGTTGTGGTGCTGCAAGTTTTGCTTTATTCTAAATTTTGTACCAAAGCAATTTTAGAATACTGATCACAATATTTCACTTATCTGCTTAGAACTATAAATAGCAATCTAGATTTAAGTAATTACAATTTTTTAATTATTTATGAACCAGCATTAGTAATTTGTAATAAAAGTTTCAAAATCTACAGGGTACAATGATTCAAATTTATCTGATAGAATAAACTATAAAATATTAATCATGTTGTTAACTAAAATAAATTGTGTTGTTCTCTTGTATAGCTTTTTACCTGCTGACTTAAACATATATGAGAGTTCCACTGTTGGTCCATGTGTTGTACTTCATGGGACTGATGAAATTCTAAATTATTTAAATTCCAAGGTGTGCTATAATACAGGCACAATCAATTTGTGATGTATATTATCTACATGGCAAATAGCTGTCTCATTCTTATTTCATACATTTAGTTTTATGCTGAACTGTTCAGTGACTAGCATTTTGTCTTTGCATGTCATGTGTGGTTGTGTATTGTTTAAGCAGTGGCTGTTGAAATTATTTTAGATTTTATGAAAATTTCTCATTGGTACCAGGGCCTGAGTTTTTACACACACACAGATATCTGTATGTGTATACACACACACACACACATACACAGAGAGAGAGAGAGAGCTATTTATCCTTTAGTTTTTGTGATATGCTTATATTTTTAAGGAAGTAAGTTATCATACTTTTTAAAAGGTAGGAACCACAATCTTTATATGGAGCTGCTTATTATTATACCCAGTCTCATTTAGTTTATTGAAAACTCTGCCATGAATCTTAAAGTAGTCTGTTTGTTTTCAAAAGTGCTGTATTAAACTAATCGGATTCCTTTCTCTAACTGCTGATTCCAGAGTTTCTCTAATTGTTAATGGGATATTTATATATTAGTAGTGCCTTTAGTTTACAAGAGATAAATGTTCGTTATCTGTCATTTATTATAGTCATGTGAATTTCTGTTATTTTCTTTTATATTTCTAGGCTCAGATGTTGGATTCCCAACATTTCCTTATTGGGAGTATGTATCCATTTCAGTAACTAGGCTCAAGTAATTCTCAGTGTTTGTTCTTACTGCCTCACAAACTCAGTCTTAAAAGGAAGCATCTGTTATGGGAATACAGTACCAAAAAAAGTGACAATGGTACGTTAATAACCTCTTACTACTACAGTGCATAATATTTTTCACCTCATGTAACTGTGCGAACTTCAGAGTTCAAGAATTGCCTCTTTCTTCACTTCTTTGAAGCCATTCTATAAACAGTGTACAGCCCATTTCTCTTTTAGAGCACAGATGAAGGAGCACATGAGATCTTCTGAAAACTCCAAGAGAAATTTCAGTTAACATAGTGCCACTGCGCTCATTAGGATATTTCCGCAGTGTTCAAGCACAGCAAGCTGACAGTTCTGTATGGACAGGCAGTAAAAGCATTTTTGTTCCTTCTCTTTTTAAAAATGTATTCTTCTAAAGTTCAAGATTGAAGAGGGATCAAAATAGGGGAGAGCTCCACAATAACTAGATAATGGCAGGCGCTACCTATATTCTTTTCTCTTTGTAGACCTGTTCCAAGTAAGAGCCTAAAATCAAGAGATATGCCCTCCCTATGGAGGATATAAGAGGCAGAGGCTCTTATTATAATCTCAGGAGACTGGATCCACTGATTATCATGCCTACTGTAGTCTAGTGTACCTCTAAGAAATAGTTGGACTTTAGGAAACTTACATTTTTCACTTTTGGATGGGGCAGTCAGACCATCCCAATAATTAGAAATATGCCCACCTAGCATTGAATCTCCTGTGGACTTTCTGTGAAAACTATGAGTTACAATGAGGGACAGAAAATCAGATTGTCCAATTGTTTCATGTTTCATATAACTAGAGCACTTATATCTATTTAATCCTTCTCACGGAAACATTTCTGAATATTCTTTGAGTAAATTTTCTTTTTTTTTTTTTAAACCAAATTAAGTGAATTTTGAAGATTTATCCTTCCAGGCTCATTGTTTCTTTTCACAATTTCCTATATTTCCTGGGTTTTATAACTTAACAGGTAGGCTATATTGATTTAAACATCGTGTAGACTGATGTCTTAAACATCTGACTCAATTGCATGAAAAATTAATTTCACCTCTGTGTACCTTGGTTTCAGTTTGAGACTTTTCTTGCTTTTCAGAGGGATCAGTACTTCTAGAACTAAAAAGATGTTTATTTTTTTAGATTTATAAAAATTTATTAAAAGCAGAAATTCATTTCATCTATTCCATGAGCAGCTATACAGCTGTCTGCAAGGACGAAGAAGTCTTTTTTAAAATCACATCTCACTATCTCAATTCTAAAGGTTAACTTGGAGTACACAAAATTAAAGAGATGAGAATTTTTTCCCCGTTTTTGTGATCAGATAATTGGCTTTGGTTTTAGGCTGGTAGTTCCAAACTAATCTGAGTTCTTAGTTTTAAGAGGAGGGGGCTGAGATGGAGATGATTGAAAGAAGGAAACCAGTTGTGACATACCTAAAATCACTGCATTTTCAAACTCTAATATATCTTTCTAGCTCAAGGAAGTAGATAAAGTGCAGGGTCTTTATTATTCACTCGCTTCTAATTCAATAAATCATAAATTTTCATAATGATTGTCTTATGTTTATCATAGCATGGCTGGAGCTGTCCATTTAAAGATGTTCTAACATGCTTTGTCTCATTGTTTAGAGCATGTTTTTTAAAGCAAATGTGTACAATTTCTCAGCTTTTGAGCTTACTGTACTATATTTCATAGTACCATCTTGCTTCCAAATTGTGGTTTTATTATAGGAAAGAAATAATTTATTGGAAAGAAGTAATTGTAACAGGCATTCTCTATTAAAAAAACAAAACAGAGCATCCTTTATCTTTTTTCTGGAGAGAGTGATAGTGGTCAAATTCGCAGTATTCTTTATGTACATTTTATAAGCTTTGTCATGAAAGTCCTTTTTTTATAGAAGCTTCCTTTCCTAGTCAGGATAAGGCTTAAATTTATAGAAAGGGAATGTTTTTTTCAGACTGGCCTGGTTCGTATTTCTCTCAGACCCCTGCATCTTCCAACAGAGATTAGAAAGAGACACTGTTGAAACAAACTGGCAATAGGGCCGGGCCAATAGACAGTTTCATTACTGTACTGAGTTAACTCTGACATCACAGATTTAACAATGTGTAAAATAATTTGGATAGTTAAGAATGTCAGCAATCCATTGCTGCTTTTGTGTTGGTTTGTGTGTGTGTGTATGTCAGTGAACCAACAATAATGCCTTGCTCAATCAATGCATTTAGCCATCTCAAGTGCAATTTGTGATGGAGACTCTGGTTTCCAATGTTTTACATAGTTAAGCCAATAAAAATTAATTTTCTCCCACAGTCCATCCATTGCTATTAATTACTTCAGCAATTGGTATACTATTGAATTGCCCACGCCAAATTAAGTTTCTGTAGATGTTTTAATAATTTGAAGGAAAATTCTCATACCATTTCTCATGGAGTAATAGGAATAAGAATTTAGTACACAGTCTGCTTTACGTTCTTTTTATTCCTTTCTTCCCCATACAGTGAAGAGACTGTTTTTGTTTGGGGTTTTTTTTTCACCACAAATCTTTTACGTTTTTTTCTTGTCTGCAACCAGTTGATTCTTTGAGTGTTTTCATCTATCTTGACATATGAATAGTATTGTGATATATCATCAATGTATTCAACATTTTGATGATTTGAAAATAGAATTAAGTGTAATTCATATATAAATTCATTTCTCACATAACTTTTATAAGTAACTGGAATTTTTCATTAGATCTTATACAGAGCAGTATTTTATTAAAAGTTCAAAAGGGAAGACTTTTATGTGCTCATTTTGTAGTTTTTTTTAAATATCTTTGCATTGTCTGCAATTAAAATGTTTTTAACTTGAAATGTACTCAAAATGTATTTTTATTTTTACGTTGTACATTTATAGATTTCTAGCATGTAGTTAGCCTCAAAATATTGTGCAAAAGGATTTTAAAACATAAAAGTCACTCAAAGAGTTTGAACATCTATACATGTTAAATGCTACATGAATTTTAATTAAACACTTGAGAATGATTTCTTGTTTCTTCTTGTATGTCTGCCTTAATGTCAACAATAGAAACATCACAGCATTCACTTAAACCCCATATCATATTATATCTCTATTTTTAATCTATGTCATTTAGAGTAAACTGAAACAGCATGGTTGGTGAAAAAAATCTGAATTGTATATGATGCGAAAAACCTCTTTTTCATATTGAATCAGTCCCTACTCTACAGGTCTTACAGAGCTCCTGTGCCTCACTTGAACATCTGGGAGGCACTTTTTTTTCTTGCTCTTCTTCCTATTCCCTGTTATGATCCACTCTTTTCTCCCATGCAGAGGAAGTTTTTTCAGAGCTACATGGGAGGAGGCTTTAAATCTTACTCATAAGACTCAGAAATTTACAAGACTAAAATCTCACTAATATTGGTTATATCTCACAATATATCTAATAAAATGTTTTTTCAAAGTAGTGGTGGGAAGGAATTGGAAAGAAGGGGTTAAAAATAGGAGAAAATTTCTTCCTGTTATATCTGCTTCTAGTTGTGCCCCATAAACTTGAGATTATTTCCGCCGTTGAAATTTACTCAAGACCACAAAGACTGGTCACGATCTGATATATGATTTGGCCACTTTGATCCAGCAGGGTTACCAATGGATACTGAGCTCTGTTTTCAGTCTTCATTCCCCAGACTGCAAACTCCCCACACTGAGATCCTGACCAATCACCCTCATCACTGAAAATCTCACTGGCTCACCCAAATCTTGGTGCCAATTTTTTTTATTTGAGAATTAAAATTAAACCAAAGCCCACTTGAGTTAGCTTAAGAAATTTGTTGTAGGACTATGGGGCAGTCCCAGAGGATCCCATCCAGCAAGCACAATCACTGAACCTTACTCAGGGTGTCACCTGATTCACTCTGTCTTCTCTTCATGGGGTCTGGGGTGTCTGACTCTGTAGATCAGGCACTCGCTAACTCATCTTGTAGGGTTAGGAGGCACAGGGATTGAGGATTGCCCCTGCTGTGCTGTGAGTTGATAAGGAAAGGCTGACCTCTCTAAGGTAGTTAAGCAACAACCACGTCTTGGGCTAGGAGTCAGTCAAGTTCTTATAGTTTTTAGATGAAAGAGACTACAAAACAGCTTTGCCCTAATAATAACCAAAGCTCATTGTGTATGATGTGCCTCAGCACTCATAAAAAGGTTATTTCCCAATCAGAGTGGAAAAATGGAATGGAAAAGTGGAAAAATGCTTACCTTTAGAATTTTCCTATGCTTTATGCAGTCACTGATTCCTATAGTTAACAGTCTTAGCCTTGTTTCACTGAATCCCTAAATATAAGATCAATAAACAATCAAAAAACATTATAATCTACTGATTATAGTGTTTAATATGTGAGATCAATATTTTAAATAGTTTACATAAACTATCTTCATTCCCCCATCCTACAGTAGGCGTCACCCATGCAGGAGTACAACTCTAAATCCATGCACTTTTAACTACTTTGCTATAAGATTTAGTTACAATCTAGTTTTTACATCAACAATGTGTAGCAGTTTACAATGAATATCATCTTTCATTTCATTTGCTATTTACTGGTGTCTTTTAAAAAAAAATATTTATTTATTTACTTTTACAAGCACTGGGTACAGTCAGAAGCACGGGAGGGTGAGAGAATTCACCAGAGCCAGAGCGGGGAACAGAACAGGCAGACTGACCAGATACACTGCTAAGGGGAGCAGCGGGCGAGACTGGAGAGGTTCTACAGCGCCATGTGGGATTCTTGCCGGCCAGCCAGGATCAAACCCGCGCTGCAGAGGCTGTGGACAGCTTCACAGCCCAGCGCTCAACCGCTGCGCCACCAGGGGAGGCCTTATTTACTGGTGTCTTTTAAGGAGGGGCTTAGCACAAACATGAGTGTTACAAACATAAATAAAACCTACTCTTGACTATCCATAAAGACTAGGAGAACAGGAACAAGTAAGCACCAGGCACAATACAGTATAGCAGTATACAAGAAAGGAGTACTTCACAGGCTGCGAAAGTACTGGGATAGCTGAGCCTTAAATGATCTAAGTGAGGAAAGGAGACTGATCAGAACTGAATTACATATGCTGCAAATTGAGACCATAGGTAAAACACAGGTCAAGGTAGGCACCCAGATCATAAAGAATATTGCAGACTATGCTACCATGTTTGAAATTTACCCTAAAGGCCTAGTCAAAGCTCTTTTGTGTGTGTGGATAGAAAAAATTCCATTTAAACTACCTCAAGAAAAAAAAATCAAATCAAATGATGAGAGTAGAAGTTTTTCAGATGGATGCAGGAAAATCATCTAGAATCCAAGAGCAAAAACACAGCTGGACTTCAAAGGGTCCTGGACCAAGAACAAGAAAGTTAATTGGGCATTTAGATATATACCTTCTCTAGTCTCTGGCTTTCTGTTTAACACTCATGGCTTCCATGTTCCAGTTGTACATTGAAACCATTCTAGGACTAGCATCTCTCCATTTCAACTTCAAAGGGGTTACATTTGTGCCAGATGTCCACCTCTGCCTAAGCCAATGAAGTCAAGAAATACCAATATAGCTGCTGCAGCTAGTTCAATGTGGAATGGGATCCTTCAGAGCAAGGATCAGGATGGAAAGACCAACCCAAATTTCCTATTTCATTTTGATATCTTAATACATTGAACAATTCAGCAAATTAAGAACATCTAAGTCGGTGACTTTACTAAAGTGTGGCACCACCCTGGGAGAACAGCAGTTAGTAGTTTAAAGAAACTCTCCCTTTGGGCCTCCCTGGTGGCGCAGCGTTTGAGTGCTGGGTTGCAAAGCTGCCCGCAGCCTCTGCAGCGCTGGTTCGATCCCCGGCTGACGTTTCCTGCCGCCTGCTACTCTCCTGAGCAGTGTAATTCGTCAGTCTGCCTGCTCTGCTCTCCGCTCTGACTCTGGTGAATTCTCTCACCCTCCCGTGCTTCTGACTGTACCCAGCGCTTGTATAAATAAATAAATAAATAAATAAATAAATTTAAAAAAAAAAAAGAAACTCTCCCTTAGAGTGACAAATGAAGAATGATTTTATAGGAAAGAAAGGAACGTGGGGACCTGAGGGTTTGGAAAGAGTTTCTTCATTCTCAGGTCCAGAGGGTCCTGGGAAGTCTAAGGACAGTCAGTCTCAAGACTATTGATGTGCTTCTGGAGTTGCTTTTTTAGGCATTACACATTTTAAAAGACCTCTAATCAAGCGCTGATGTTATGGGCATCTTCAGCAGGAACACAAATATTGCAGTCAGCATTAGACAACCCACATCATGACCCTGAGGGATGTAGCACAGTAACATGTAAGATGGGGGTCAGGTCATTATTTCTACTTCAGGTGTGGATGATCCTTAAGGTCCATCCATGTTGTTGAATATTGCAGAATTTCCTTCTTTTTAAAGGTTGTATAATATTACCATATGGATATGCCACGTTTTCTTTATCCATTCACTGTTAATGCACATTTAGGTCTTTCCTATATCTTGGTTATTGGAAATAATACTGCAATAAACATAAGAGTGATAATATCGCTTAGAGATCCTGACTTTCATTTGGACCCAGGTCTGGGTCCAGATCCAGGCCCAGACCCCATAATCTAGGAATAACCAACTCTATATCCTATAGTATCAGATCTGCTTTCCTTTCAACCTTATCTTCCATTGTACCTTTCCTGAACGCTCTGGGAGATTGCACAGCTCTCTATGCCCCAGCTGAGATTTTTTTCAAGGAATTAACTTTTGATTTAATTGATTTTTTTCTGTTTTCAATTTTATTCATTTTTGCTCTTAATTTCATTATTTCCTTCTTTTTTGTTAGCTTTGGGTTTAACTTGCCTTCTTTTTCTAGTTTCATTAAGTGGTAGCTTAGATCACTGGTTTGAGATCATTCCATTACAATAGCAACATATAATGCTGTGCATTTCTGTCTAAGTCCTGCTTTAGATCCATCCCATAAACCCCAATTAGGACAAGTTGTTTGAGAACATTATTTAGGTTTTTTATACTTATTGACTTTCTCTCTACTTGTTCTATTAAATTCTAAGAGGAATTTCCAGCTATAACTGTATGTTTAACCATTTTTCCTGCAATTTCATATACTTTGAAGATTTATTCTTATATGCATACATTTAGGATTGTTGTGATTACTTTATCATCACATATCATCCTTCTTTATCTCAGGTAATAGTCCTTTTTCTGAAGTGTACTTGGTCTACAACTAATATAGCCTTTCCAGCAACACTAATTTTTGTTAGTGTTTGCATGGTATGACTTTTTCATCCTATTCTTTATTTTTTTTTTTTTTTGTTTATATATTTGCGGGAAAACATAGTTTGTTCTTTTAGTTTACATAATGACATTGTGTTACTTGTATTATGTCCCTTGCATCTTCTCACATTGCAGTGTTTAGAAATTTGCCTGTGTTGCTAAGCATCCAACTGATTTAGTCTGAAATCTTCAAAGAACTCCAGGAAGACACCCTCCACAGTTTACCTATTAGTTTCTTTTCTTTTTTTTTTTTTTTTAAGGCATGTTTTATTTATTTATTTATTTGTTTGTTCGTTCGTTTTTGTTTATACATGCACTGGGTACAGTCAGAAGCACGGGAGGGTGAGAGAATTCACCAGAGCCAGAGCGGGGAGCAGAGCAGGCAGAAGGACCGAAGTACACTGCTGAGGGGAGCAGTGGGCGGCAGGAGAGGTCTGCGCGCCATGTGGGACCCTCCTCCCGTGGCCGGGGAGTAGCCGGGGATCGAACTGGCGCCGCAGAGGTCGCCAGCAGCTTCGCAACCCAGCGCTCAACCGCTGCGCCACCGGGGAGGCCCTTCATCCTATTCTTTAAACCTACCTGTGTCTCTATATTTAAAGTGGAATTTTTGGTCCAGAGTCTATATAACTTGATCTCGATTTTTGTATGCAACTGAAAACCTGTCTTTTAGTTAGTGTATGTAAGGCTATTTTTAGTGTAGTATTGATATGTTTGGATAAATATCCACCATCTTGCTAACAGTTT